GCACCCCGGATTCCACATTCTGCAAGACAACCTGTGCACCATCAAAAAGTATTAACTAACTTATGTGGTGAGTTCCGGGTCCCGGAACTCGGAACTCGGTACAGTTGACTCAAATTCTGGTGGCCGGAACTTGGCGTCTCATAGGGCAACACAAGCTTCGCACTGCCATGTCAGGAGATCACCTGATGCTCCGGGAGCTTGGTAACTTTGATTTATTACCTCCTCTGATTTGGTTGATGTACAACTACCTCAGCTCCATCATGTCTACAATTATGATACACATGGGCCCACCCATCTATATTGTATACCACCCTCGGCCCACCCGTCTAATACAACATCCCATACAACACCCTCGGCCCACCGGTCTAATTAATATGCGTCTGGGCCCACCCGTATAATACAATATTTTATAATACCCTCGGCCCACCCGTCTAATTTAATATGTGTCTGGGCCCACCCGTGAATGTGATAACAAGTACCTACCCATCTATCTCATACACATCTACCTTAATACACCCATCTGCATAATATCCAACTACCTCGGCCCACCCGTCTACCTAATATTCATTTACATCGGCCCACTCATCTACTCTATATATTCCCTGCATGGGCCCACCCGCCTCCATCGGGAATAATTTGCCTCCCGGCCCATCCGTCATAGTCAAGAATATTTTTATCATGGGCCCATGGTCCGCTGGCCCGTATCATACGGGATATTATGCACGTCCGTTCCCTCGTATTATACGGAGATAGGTCACTGTAGTATGTGACTAGATAGTAATGTCCTACATAGAGTCTCACTCTCAATGGACAAAAAATTGGAAACAAAAAAAGGATGCTGGGACGACAGTATCGGTGGCACAGGATACGCTATATAGCAGGAATTGCACTCACTTACACCCAACCTCAAAACACAACAACTTGATTCCCTTGAAACTACACATACGGTCTTGAAAGCGTCACCTTCACTCCCTAGGTTGGTACCTTGCCTTAGTTGAATAATCTTCGGACACTGTGACACCAATGGCTTCGAAACAGTGCATGGCCGTTGGCCATCTCTGAGTGGTGCGCAGGGATAGTGGTCAAGTAATGCCTTCAAGTTATCAGAGCTTGTCACGGACGCGGTTCAGAAGAGGTCAATGGTGCATCTCTGTTTATGCTTCACCGAGAAATCTTACCTGTGCTAAGTGCTCGATCTTTTGGAAAACGACTGAGAAATTAACTGCTTCAGTTCCAGTAACAACACACCCAGCACAGATTGCCCCAATCGAAAGACCATGAACCTATTGGGCAGAGTGGACTTGGTCGAGGGTTGCACGGGGATGGGCTTGGGCACATTGTGGTTTCATGAGGATGCGATGGTGCCCTCGCCCTAGTGGGAGTGGAAGCGGCGGTGGAAGTAGCAAGGATGGTGAGGTAAACGATTTGAACGAACTTCATGATATCTGGTATAACTATGCTTCAGGCTATGATGTGAACGTGTAAGAAAACCACATACCGACAAAAGTCTGATTGTGCAAATGTGCGCAAAGTTGCTATGAAAAAGTCTTAGAGGAGCTATTATATGACGCTTCAATGAAATGCGCATAGTGTGGCGTAAGAGGTTACTTACCGTAACAGTAGACGTTCGTCTCTGAGGCCTTTTCAACTCGACCGCGTTGATTTTATACTTGTTCTCATTAGCGGTGAAACTACACTCGGAGAAAGTTTTATACCAAGAGACATGTAATTCTGTTAATGAAATACATCTCCTTGGCAATCTGCACTGCGCAGGCCCGGTGTTGCGCGTGACAATCAAATCCAACGGAATGGCAATAGCGGGTTGTAGTGAGTCAGCAGGAAGGATGATGAATAAATTGGTATTTGCATAAGATCAGGTATTGGCCACTGCTGAGCGTTCTTAGCCTCAGGATAATCATTTCTGAGCGGAGCGTAGGGATGCTGGTCAAGGAACACCTTCAGGTCGTCAGAGTCAGAGCTTGTCAGCTACGCGTCAGAATAGATATGAAAGCTTTCAAGACGCTAGCTAGTGTGACAACGTGCCATATAATTAACGCCGAAATTAATGATATCATGTAATGAGCTGATGTATGCCCCACCGTAGACTTGGTCAGAAGGAACGACCGTCTTCGTTCTTATTGGGCACACCAACTACGATCGAACGTATCCGTTGCGATTGTGAGTAACGACATGGCACGAAACAAGCTGCATATTGTCAATGCAAAGACTATTGCTTCTGAAAACCCCCTTTGTTCTGTTTCATGCCTCACAGAGAGTAAGTGAGCACGTTGATGCTGTCCGACCTTGCCTATGAAGTCAAGGACTAAAACGGACCTTGAAAGCTCCAAGCTTCAAGGACAAGAGCCGAGGTGACGTTGACACAACGAGTCCGATAACCAGTTGCAAGTAAAGGGAATCCAACATGAGGCATAGATGTGAGCCGTTTGGATCAAGAAGTTCGAATATCGGGTACCTGGCAAGAGTCTGCTAATTCCCGTGAGATCGATACATTCGGCAAGTTCCGGTTACAGCCAAGTTACAGCGGCAGTTACCGCAAAGGGACGACACTTTGTCGCAGCGTTTAAACTCCACTTAGTGACAGACACTGGACGTGCGTATTCGCAGCATGGGGTAGCTGGGGTACGTACCTACCCCGATACAGCACTTTCTACGTAATTTTCAATCAGCAAGAACACGATGCTCCCCCAACGAGCCGGTCAGTGACCACCTCATTGAAACCTCGAGTTTACATATATTGGATTCATCATAATTGTCCTGCCAGGTTACTTTCTGTCACAACCATGATACCGCACCGATATAACGAGGAGACATCCCTTCTCCTACAGCAAGAGCAGCTGATAGCAGCCAAGACACCTCTGCCTTGGGATCAGTTCTGGATCATATTGGTCTTGCATTTTTCTCAGTCGCTTGTTTTTAAGACTCTTTCCCCATTCATCCCCCAAGTGAGTACATACTGTCCTCTACTTGAAGTCGAAGATCGGCCAAACAGAATCTTGTAAAGCTAATCAAAGACATTGGCGTGACCAACGGAGACGAACAACAAGTTGGATACTTCATCAGCTTCCTGGTGAGCATGTTTTTATCCTTCACTGTCCTATGTCCCTTACTGATGTCATCTCGAGGACTTATCATACTATGTCCCTCAAACGCTGGTTGTTCTCTATTGGAGTCGACTGTCTGATCGTATTGGGCGGAAGCCTGTAATACTCACTGCTTCATTCGCGATAGCGACTACAATGATATCGTTTGGGTTGTCAAGAACCTTTCGCGGTCTGCTGGTCAGGTTCGCACTTCAGATGAATCGTCATCATGACTGTTGTTTACCAAGTCAATCACTGATATCCTGATCAGCCGTGTTATCTGTGGGGCATTCAATGGAGAAAGTGGAGTCATCAAAAGCATGATGATGGACATCACTGATGCAACCAATTTGCCAAGGGCATACGGATACGTGCCACTTCCATCGATGTTGGCCGCCATCATTGGGTAGGTGTATCGAGTGTTTCTGCTTGCTCTTGAAGTAAGATTTACAATATTCTAGGCCACTTGTTGGTGGATCACTCTCACAACCAGCAGACAGATTCCCTGGAATATTTGGGCAATCTGAATTCCTGAAAACATACCCATACCTTTTGGCATGCGCTGTTCCAGCTCTATGTTCCGCTATTCTTTGGCTAGTTATGTATTTTCGTCTCAAAGAGGTTAGCATCATTTTGAAAGTCGTATTTGGATCGCACTGACTGCGGTAACAAGAGCGCTTTGACTAAGGCGCCGTTTTTGGAGATGATGAAACAATGGCTATCGCAACGGTCATATTTAAAGCGGTCCGCGCTATCGAGGGATACTCTTATTGGTTCTTTGGAAGCGAACACTGAAGAGGTCTCATCAAAGTCACTTAGTGCTATACTAACTCCGAAGGTCCTGACCGTAGCAGCAAGTTCTGGCACTTTGACCCTTTTTCTTGTTGCGATTAACAAGCTTGTACCACTTTTCTATGCGACGCCGATTGAATTCGGTGGTGTTTCCTTGGACCCTCCTCGCATTGGCGTTATATTTGCAACAGCAGGTTTTGCCAGTGGCATATTCCAGTTCCTTTTCTATGCTCGTTTACACGATCGCTTGGGCGCACATGTCATATATATGACTGGTCTCGGCTCCAGCATACCTATCATCCTTTTATTCCCGGTGATCAATGCTCTAGCTCGAGCCCATGGGATGAGCTTCGCGACATGGTTGGCCATTGGCTTTCAACATGTGCTAATAATCATCTTGGATATGTGCGCCCGTATGTCAACAACTAAGCATCTTCTGTGTTCTGCTTAATTGAACTGCATCCTTAGCTTGCATAGCGTTGTTTACTAGAGCAGCTGCTCCTAATCGTGCCTCGATTGGAGCAACCAATGGCGTTGTTCAATTTGTTAGCGGAGCGGCGAGGATCATCGCACCAGTATGTGCAGCGAGTTTTTCTTATTCGATGCAGGAAGGTCGCGATGCATGGTTGGCCTTCTATTTCTACATGGGACTTGCATTTCTCGCTATCGGTACTTCTTTAGCCCTGCCTCGTGACCCTAGTCTATGGGAAGAACGCGATTAATATGCCCATCAGTGGTATCTGTCGTAACAGCCATGTCCACCTTTTTAAAACAATGGGTTTTCCGTAACAGAGACAATTATATCTGCTCAACAACGAAGCTGTCCGTGGAATGAGCTATGCTTGTAAAGGTAAAAAAAAAGTATTCGGGGTCATTACGCGTACGTATCGAGGAATATTTTCGAGAAATACTTCACGCCTTCTGCACTATGAACTATTGCCCCAATCACTCCGTCCGGCCATATCCGAACACCTTCGTCCGGTTAACTTCCACGAGATAAGCAAATAAACATAGCTCTCTCGATAAACAAGAACGAGGTCAGCAGGAGATGCAACAGGCGTCACTGATGCCAATAATGGCAGAACGGCTGCCAATCATAGTACGACACTTTCGTCGTATGGCTCAAGTGCACTCAAGATCGGGGTAGCATCAGCGAGACACGACGCAAATACAAGCATTGTGTGGTACCAGGGTCTGTACAAACCAGAAAGCGTCGTCACGAAATAGTGACGCCCTCATCGAACTGTTCGAATGAGCACAGTTCGGTGTCCATCTCTAGTAGATGGTGTCACATCGGGGTGAACGATATTTAAAAGAGGTTTATATGTTGTACAAAATGTGAAGACAATATTTAATATTTAAACTAACATAAAGATGGGTGCACGACTTCAAATTTTGGTGGTGTTTTGTGTGTAATCCAAAATATCAAATATTCACAACCATATTCCCACAGACAATATGTCAACAAACATAAGAAATATAGTCAGATTTTTCATGTCTGCTTCAACTTAAAGTTCAATTTCCATGTAAAACTTTGGAGAAAACTTGAAGTTTTACAGATGACATGACATTAAAACTCGATTTAAATGTCAAGCTTTGGCAAAACTTCAAGTTTTCTCCAAAGTTTTATGTAAGAATCAAACTTTAAATTGAAGCAGACATGGAAAATCTGATTATATTTATTATATTTGTTGACATATTGTCTGTGGGAATATGGTTGTGAATATTTGATATTTTGGATGACACACAAAACATCACCAAAATTTGAAGTCGTGCACCCATCTTTATGTTAGTTTAAATATCAAATATTGTTTTCACATTTTGTACAACATATAAACCTCTTTTAAATATCGTTCACCCCGATGTGTGTCGCAAAATCACATCTAGGAGTTGTTGACCCATCGATTTGGGCCATGTTAAAAATCGAATCAGCATGAAGCTTTGATCAGGCGACAGTGTTGCACACATGTCACAAATGGTATTGCCAGAGCGGGTTTCGCATGCGGAACCATCGATAAGTCTTGCAGAGGTTCCAACGTCCCACTGGGTTTGTATGAACGGACGAGATGGGCTGGTTTTCCCACGACCATGTCTTTTAGAAAGATCGACATCGACGCATATGACGAGAATGTCCTACTGGAGGGCGAGCTTTGCGAGCCAGATACACGCGATCCCACTCAGGTCTTGAGTGATGCGAAACCTTGCATCATGACCCCATATCAATTCAGTTCTCGGATCACGAAGACGATCCAGGATGCGATCATACACGGTTTAAAAGAGTTGTACACCTTCAAATTTGACTCCTGTCTGACAAAACTAACTCACCCGGCGCTCAATGGATCCGACCTATCGGGAGTCTGCATTTTCTCGTTCAATATTCTTAACGGTCAAATTTCAAGCCTTCAAGCTTGAACTTGGCCTCCTTTGAGGACCTCCTGCGGACGAAGTCAAACACTGATGATCCATGGACTCTATATTACAATGCACAGCACAACTCGGATGCATCTCACATAAGTCCAATTCCCCCACCATCTCTCTTCAAATCCACAGACAACCCTTTCGTCTCAGCCACAGTCGCCTTCAATAACTCGATCTTGCCATTCAACAACTCGATCGCATCCAACCCCATCGGCAACCGCTTTGGTATATTTCCTCCTTGTACAACCTCATAAACGGTCCGCGTGAATTTATACGCATCTCCTTCGAACACTGCGCCGATCAGCTTGCGACGCATTACTGAAGTCTCAAAGGACTCATCGGTATATGCTGGATGCTGTGGTAATACCTCTGCCTTGTTCACCATGTCTGTGTGGAACAAGCCAGGTTCGATGATGCAGATCTGGCTCTTGTCGTGAGTATTAATCTATTGGTCTGTCAGAGGTTCATGCCTTTATGTTCCATGAAGGCGGTAACTCTCTTGTGAGGCTGTCCGTGAAGCCTTCTAGTGCTGCACAGCCAATCAGTCATGAATACTGTCCATGCCAAGATTCCTACCATGTTTACTGCAAACACATAAGCATCATCTCAATCAGCACCACGTGTAGACCATACTCACGTCGCAGCATAGTAACCAATTCCAGGACGCGCATGAAACCCTCCAATCCAACTGATTTGAAGAATGGTCCCCCCCTTGCCCCGTTCATTCACCTCTCTAAAAAACTTCACTGCAGCACGACTAACGTTCGTCGCGCCCCAAAAATTTGTCTCGAAAAGCCCGCGCGCTTTATGAACGGGCGTGCCTTCGATTTCTGTGACAATTGAATATCCGGCATTGTTGAACACTACGTCCAGCCGTCCGAACGCTGAACGCGTACGTGCGAATGCTTCATCGATGTCTTCCTGCTTTGCGACGTCGACTTTGAGTATGAGGAGCTTGTCTACTGGGTATCGGGCTGCAAGATCGGATAGGACTTGTGGTTTGCGGAGGGTTGCTACTACGATGTCTCCTTTGTCGAGGGCATACTCTGTCATGAGTCTTCCAAATCCTGAGGACGTCCCCGTTACTGTACATGATACTTAGTGTCAGCTGGCATGTGAGTGGGAAAAGGGCTTACTGAACCAGACTTTGGGAGAGGACATTGCACGAATTGATGATCTTTTCTTCCTTGCTGTGGCTTTATGCCATTCCTCGTGCGTCAGGAACCCATCACAATTGTTTTCATGTCAAAATTTGACAAGACACTACTAGCACTGTCAGCTGGAGCTAACAGATCAAAAACTCGCGCCACAACTTGGATGTATGTTACTTCAAAGTCACTCGAGCGCTTCAATATCTAGTACTCAAAATACTACAAGTGAAATTGAAGTGTAACAAGACAATCTCCAATGAGTTTTTTTTTTTGAATCCTATTTGATTGTCCGGTGGGGCGGGGCCCTATGGTGGACAGTACTTACAGTATTGTAGTCTATCGTAAATTTTGTACTATGGGGTCGTTTTATGTAACTCTAATATTGGTCCAGGATGTGAATCGAGGACGTTGGATACCATCTAAAGGTATGCGGGGTGTGTTTGCTAGCTTGCTAGCTGTCTATGTTCTTTGTCCATTGCGGTCTTTCTTCTTTTCTGGGGGGGTGACATCTCCGAACGTGCTGACGAATCGTTTGGTGCGGGCTATATATTTGAAGAGAGATTCTATGCACTTCTCGTCGTTGAGTAAGTGCTTTAGTTGCTGGGATCGGGTGCCCAGCTCCGCTTTTAGCTTTCTTCGGTGAGTCGCGTACGTTGGGCATACGAAGAGGAAAGGGCGTAGCTATTTTGACGCGGTCCTGCCGCGCCTGCCGCGGTCGTGACGCGGCCGTGACGCGACGTGACGCGCATGTGACGCGGCACTGACGAGCCTTGACCGCGGCCACTGACGCGCCATTCCTATATTCTATATTCAACTTCCAGATCAAGTTGGATGAGTTCACGACCATTCTTTTGTTATTTTATTTGCCTCAGAGCCATGTACAACTAGGTATACATAAGCCAATGACTATTTTCTTTTCCTCCCTCTCTGGACCCTTCGAGCCTGTGGAGCACATCGACGTTTGACGGGCGGACATTCTTCGGCCGGCAGAGAAGGAACTACAGCTTCGGATAGCTCGTCTGCAGACTCCAAAGGTGTAGCATCAGAGTTATCACTGAATAAGGGGCCGCGCTGTCAATCACATAAGTTAGATATCTATCGAACGGAGCAGGTAATGTCTTCCTCACTTCAAGTTCACTCTCGCTATAATCTCTTGCAGAAACCCATTCATCAGGAATTCCGAGATACACATTCCATCGCCTGTGATGTTGGCCAGCATCCAAACCCCACTGCTGGTTGCCTGCAGGTCCTGCTTCTTCGGAATCCTCGAACATCCTTGCTTCTAGTGCGGTCAGACACTCGAGGTCGACATCAGCCACGAAGCTATTGGTAGGATAGCTTATCATGAGATCAGCCCAAGCCATCTTCAACAGCATGCTATCGTTCCATTCTTCGTTTCGAGCTTCGATGCGTTTTTCAAAATCACTGGCCTTTCGGTGAGCAACCACGAGAGTGAAAGCATGCACCAAAGGCATGCCACCAAGCCATTTTTCGACTTGACCGGAAGCACCAGGAACATTCTCCGAGAACCAACGTGCAATTTTGGCATACTCGTGAGATGAGATGTCACCACAAAACGGTATGCTGTATGCACCCACACCATCTGGCTTCTTCTTCGATCGCAAGATGTAGTCTATCACGGGGTATGCATCCGCACCATATTGGTTCAAGTCTGGACTGTCAAGGAGCTTCTGAAGCGAAGCAATATGTGGTAGTAGAATGTCGTCCAGTTCTTTTGATACTTCCGCTGACATAAAGTTTTGAATCAAGTCTTCTTCGCGAGGAGTATCCCAAGAGTGGATCCATTCTCCGAGCTACACAATACTTCGTGTCAAGAGGACTGCGAGTATAACCAGTCACTGTCACTCACGCGAATCTCACGCCTCTTAGCTTGGTCCTGCCAAAGTTCATCCACGAGATCCCCTTGCTCAACATCACCAGGAGGTGATCCCAAACTTGATGGGAATCTGCAACCGCGCCACCAGACCACCCGCCAGCGTACTCAGTTGCGTGCACTAGCAGGGAGACTTACAGTGTCATAGGACTGAATCAGCCGCACAGGATACCAATACTTCCCGAGACGAGCCAGATTACCACCTTGCATCATGACCACATATCAATTCAGTTCTCGGATCACGAAGACGATCCAGGATGCGATCATACACGGTTTAAAAGAGTTGTACACCTTCAAATTCCGTTGACTCCTGTCTGACAAAACTAACTCACCCGGCGCTCAATGGATCCGACCTATCGGGGGTCTGCATTTTCTCGTTCAATATTCTTAACGGTCAAATTTCAAGCTTTCAAGCTTGAACTTGGCCTCCTTTGAGGAGCTCCTGCGCACGAAGTCAGACACTGATAATCCATGGACTCTATATTACAATGCACAGCACAACTCGGATGCATCTCACAAAATCCCAATTCCCCCACCATCTCTCTTCAAATCCACCGACAACCCCTTCGTCTCAGCCACAGTCGCCTTTAATAACTCGATCTTGCCATTCAACAAATCGATCGAATCCAACCCCATCGGCAACCGCTTTGGTATATTTCCTCCTTGTACGACCTCATAAACGGTCCGCGTGAATTTATCTGCATCTCCTTCGAGTACCGCGCCGACCACCTTACGACGAATTACTGAAGCAAAGGACTCATCGGTATATGCTGGATGCTGTGGTAACACCTCTGCATTGTTCAAGACGTCTGTGTGGAACAAGCCAGGTTCAATGATGCAGATCTGGTTCTTGTCGTGAGTATTAATCTATTGGTCTGTCAGGGGTTCATGCCTTTATGTTCCATGAAGGCGGTAACTCTCTCTCGAGGCTGTCCGTGAAGCCTTCTAGTGCTGCACAGCCAATCAGTCATGAACACCGTCCATGCCAAGATTCCTACCATGTTTACTGCAAACACATAAGCATCATCTCAATCAACACCACGTGTAGACCATACTCACGTCGCAGCATAATAACCATTTTGAGGAAAGGCATGAAACCCACAAATCGAACTGATTTGAAGAATGGTCCCCCCCTTGCCCCGTTCATTCACCTCTCTAAAAAACTTCACTGCAGCACGACTAACGTTCGTCGCGCCCCAAAAATTTGTCTCGAAAATCTCGCGCGCTTTATGAACGGGCGTGCCTTCGATTTCTGTGACAATTGAATATCCGGCATTGTTGAACACTACGTCCAGCCGTCCGAACGCTGAACGCGTACGTGCGAATGCTTCATCGATGTCTTCCTGCTTTGCGACGTCGACTTTGAGTACGAGGAGCTTGTCTGCTGAGTATCGGGCTGCAAGATCGGATAGGACTTGTGGTTTGCGGAGGGTTGCTACTACGATGTCTCCTTTGTTGAGGGCATACTCTGTCATGAGTCTTCCAAATCCTGAGGACGTTCCCGTTACTGTACATGATACTTAGTATCAGCCAGCATGTGAGCGGGAAGGGGCTTACTGAACCAGACTTTGGGAGAGGACATTGCACGAATTGCAAGATGATCTTTTCTTCCTTGCTGTGGCTTTTATGCCATTCCTAATGCGTAGCACTGTCAGCTGGAACTAACAGATTGGAAGCTCGCGCCACAACTTGGCGGCGGCCGCTAGACTCACACGATGACCACATGAGAGTGGAGAATGTTTGGTCCCGAGCCTAGGCGGCCGCCCTGGGATGCCATTTAAGACAGTCACTCGAGCACCTTCAATATATAGTACAACAAGTGAAATTGAAGTGTAACAAGACAATATAGATACTCCAATGAGTGTTGGCGCTGTCGCGTCTTCATTTGTGGTTCTGTTGTATCGGTATCGGTTTCCCCGATGGGGTAGGGCTTCCCAGGAAGCAAGTCATATACAACACTACCACCTGGAAAGCACTAACCAACCGGACATAGACGGGCAGCGAGATTAGCAGGAGGATTAGGCTGATTGCAGAGAACTTGATACCGTTTCATCCTTAGACCGATCACCGTCAACGAAGTTGGTCATCCATGGTATGCCGTGGTGCGGATGTGTGCGTCGTGAAATGAGCCCAGGTTATCATGAACTTGACACATCGGGGTGAACGATATTTAAAAGAGGTTTATATGTTGTACAAAATGTGAAAACAATATTTGATATTTAAACTAACATAAAGATGGGTGCACGACTTCAAATTTTGGTGGTGTTTTGTGTGTCATCCAAAATATCAAATATTCACAACCATATTCCCACAGACAATATGTCAACAAATATAATAAATATAATCAGATTTTCCATGTCTGCTTCAATTTAAAGTTTGATTCTTACATAAAACTTTGGAGAAAACTTGAAGTTTTGCCAAAGCTTGACATTTAAATCGAGTTTTAATGTCATGTCATCTGTAAAACTTCAAGTTTTCTCCAAAGTTTTACATGGAAATTGAACTTTAAGTTGAAGCAGACATGAAAAATCTGACTATATTTCTTATGTTTGTTGACATATTGTCTGTGGGAATATGGTTGTGAATATTTGATATTTTGGATTACACACAAAACACCACCAAAATTTGAAGTTGTGCACCCATCTTTATGTTAGTTTAAATATTAAATATTGTCTTCACATTTTGTACAACATATAAACCTCTTTTAAATATCATTCACCCCGATGTGTGAAGAAAAAGGGAGGAAAACAACAGGGTAAGTGAAATTGATACGGCATTACATAATATTGACAATTCGGAGTCAGCTCATTATTGCCACTGAATGTCACCTCAAAGATTACATGCACACAGCTACCACGCTTGATTTTCATTTTTCTTCTGACCCATACATGGCTGACAAGTTCTACCAGTAACCAGTGACAACTTGAAGTTGTTTCTTGGCCACTATCCCTGCCCTCTGCTTAGAAACGGCCAAGCTTCAAGAGCGCTCAGCAATATTGGATTACGCAAACCTTTCGTTATTTTGCCTCAATGATTATCCTTCCTGCAATCACCGCAGTCCGCTGGCTCGATTTGAATATCAACAACTCGATGCATCTTCCCCAGGAGACGAATTTCATAATCAGAGCTGCACATATTCTCGGTATAAAACTTTCTCCAAGTATAGTCTCACCACTGACGAGAACAGGTATAAAACGAACGCGGCTGAGTTGAAAAGGCCTCAGACGAGCACTTCCTGTTGCAGTGAGTAGTCCTCTGATGGTACACTATGTGCATTTTATTGAACGAATGTATAACAGCTCTTCTAATACTTTGTCATAGTAACTTCGCACATCGCACAATCAAACTTTCCGTCGGTGTGTGATGATTTTACTGACATGATCGTATCACAGGCTAATGCATAGTTATACCAGATACCATGAAAGTCGCTCAAATCGTTTTCCTCACAATTCTCGTCGCTTTCAATGTCGCCAGGGCCACTACAGTGCCGACAAATTTTACTCCATGGTCAAAGTGTGTTGCCCCGTGCCAGTTAACAGCGCCGAACTGTGATCCACCGAGAACGCCTATGGAAACAAGCCCCAATTGCTGGGCGTGCTGCGAAGCTGGTAGCTCCTTGGCGTAAACGACTTTCGAACTGCTCGACAGGGACGGTGTCTTACCATCGAGGCCCTACGTACTGGTTCAACTGTAACTACACCATAAGTAGGTTGAACTCGGTCATCTTTGCTGTCAAATGAATCATATACCGTCTTCAAAAAAGATTGAGATTTGGCTTCGACATTATGGATGTCAGAACATCAGAGATACTGTATCGTGGAATGGCTTGATTTGAATATCAACGACTTGATGCGCCTTGCCAAGGAGACGAATTTCATATTCTCGGTATAAAACTTCTCCGAGTAAAGTCTCACCACTGACGAGAACAGGTATAAAACGAACACGATTGAGTTGACGAGGCCTCAGACGAGCACTTCCTGTTGCAGTGAGTAGTCCTCTTACGATACACTATGTGCATTTCATTGAACGAATGTGTAACAGCTCTCCTGATACTTTGTCAGAGCAACTTCGCGCACATCGCACAATCAAAATTTCCGTCGGTGTGTGGTTTTCCTGTGTAATAAGACAATATAGATACTCCAATGAGTGTTGGCGCTGTCGCGTCTTCATTTGTGGTTCTGTTGTATCGGTATCGGTTTCTGTACGACGCTAGAACAAGATCTCAGCGGGACGTGATAGACGACGCTGAGGTGAAACTACGTGGAGGAAAAACACATAAGTAGGAAGTCTGAGACGAAGGAAGCTACCAGTGAGCGTCAGTACTGGTGAGGAAGACATATGCAAATAATCGGTGCCAATGCTTCAAGACTGGATTAGAACAGCTTTTGATCGAATTTGTAGAACAAGGGCGTACCACTCTATCGAGGCCAACACCCGTCAAGCGGATATCTCTAGTCACAACCCGGGTATCGTCTCTAGTCTCACCTAAAATGTGAGCCCAAGTTGCTTGCACACAATGCCTGCAAAGTCACCTTCAGTTTCGTTCATCCTGGTACATTGAACTGCGCCTCACTTTTAGCACCATCAGCGTCGATGATCTACTTAGTGTCAAAGCTCTCTGGTATGCCGTTTTTTGCTAGAATAGCAGTGACACCCTCATCGGACTGTTCGAATGAGCACAGCTCGGTGTCCATCTCAACAGAACAAGAAAACTTCTCCAGATGGCGTCGCAGAATCACATCCGGGAGCTGTTGACCCATCAATTTTGGGACTTGCTAGAAATCGAATCAGCATGAAGGTTTGATCAGGCAATGGTGTTACGCACGAATGGTATTGCTGGAGTAGGTTCCACATGCGGGACTATCGATAAGTCTTGCAGAGGTTCCAACGTCCCAGGCTTGTATGAACGGACGAGAAGGGCTGTTTTTCCCAGACTATTGACTTCTGAAACGTCCAGGAAGTCCGAGGGAGCGTGGCTACATAGAACATGTATTCAATGAGACCACGAGACGGTGTGACAAGTGGATGTGCGACAAACCCACATCCCAGAACCACGCTGTCCAATGCGAGGGTGGAGGTCTTTATTGATGATGCGAACTGAGATGCCGTTTTGGAGGAGCGTCAACGCTGCTACCAGACCCACTGGCCCAGCGCCAACCTAATGGCAAAGAATTCAACTGAGGTGCAAACATGTGACATAAGCAGGTCACTTACGACTACACAGCTCGATACACTGGCAGGAAAATTAGTTGGTTTGAATTTCAAGGGTTTGGATCAGCAGGTCTTTATAACATGGGGACGGGGTCGAAGGCTGCGGTAGTGACGTGTCGTTTAGTTGTCACTGACTTGCGTATGACTACCATATCCTTACAAAACAACTTACCTATCGACGACGATTCAAGACATTCGACGTGACTTCGAGGCATGTAATGTTTAGGATGAGCACAGATTCTCCGTATTGTAAAATAGTGATTAGCATGGCACGGTAGAAATGTGGCGTTAGGATGGGACCCCACGCATGGAAGAGTCGACGGAAGACCTGATTGTTTAAAGCTTCTACGCATGAGAAAGTAGATTCAATGGAGGCGTAGGGAGAAGTTGCACAGGCCCGATGGAATAGAGCTTCCCAGGAAGCAAGTCATATACAACACTACCACCTGGAAAGCACTAACCAACCGGACATGGACGGGCAGCGAGATTAGCAGGAGGATTAGGCTGATTGCAGAGAGCTTGATACCGTTTCATCATTAGACCGATCACCGTCAACGAAGTTGGTCATCCATGGCATGCCGTGGTGCGGATGTGTGCATCGTGAAATGAGCCCAGGTTATCATGAACTTGAAGAAAAAGGGAGGAAAACAACAGGGTAAGTGAAATTGATACGGCATTACATAATATTGACAATTCGGAGTCAGCTCATTATTGCCACTGAATGTAGTGTTGTTGGCAAAACAGCCGAGTTTTGCCAACTGGTTGTGCCAGACCGGTTGTGCCCGGTGATCGGCAAAACTCATGCAAAATGGGGGTGGCACAACTTGGCAAAACTCGCAGAGATGTAACTTAAATCTGATAAAATATACTTCAAAATTCAATAGAACATAAAAACCAACGTCCCTAAAGCAAGATGTTCCATGGTGGAGGACACCCACTTGCATCATCGATGAATATGGACAATTTTGAGCGCCTAGAACTCAAGGTTACACTTGGGCAAAGTGCTGAAATGATTGGGATATAATGACAGTAGCGAAAACACTTTCGAATAACCTGCAGCCCTACATAAAATTCACATACTCAAGGCCTTTACTGCAATGATTCTCGATTCCAGAGTCATGCAGGCAAAGTAGAGCGCACATTCTCTGATCACATACACACTCGAGAGGTTGGCATTGCTGTCGAGAGTGCACAGGATCTTGAAGTATCTTTTGCATGGGCTCCACTCTTGACCAAACCTTGTGACACAGATGACATCCTGCCACGGACTGAAGAAGTTCGGAACATTAACGAAGTTGAAGCTTGAGGTGCTGGAGGAAAATGCTTTTGATTTCGATGAATTGATGTCTCATTAGGAATGTCATACACATATATAGCCTAGAGTTTCGCCACCCTGGCAAAACAACATCAGGAAAACCCTCCCATGTAAACTTAGGTAAAGTTGTTCGGATTAGATCTTTTTTCGTGCAGCTAGCACATATTAGACAGTATTAGACATATTAGATGGGCTAGGCTAAATGAGCCCCTTCAGTGAATTCACTCTGTCTCAGATGGACAGCTGAGTGTGACAATGTACCTGTTGGGAACGGGCCATCCCATGTGGGCCCATGGACATAATTGTACCATGATATACGAGTGGGCCGGTGTAGAGAATCATGCCTCTCATGGCGTGATATGGCAGTTTCCACTAGGGAGTATACAGCACCAACTCGCAGCACCACTCTGTGTACTATCCACAGTGATTCCTATATGATGCGCAGCTTTCCCACGCAACGCGCGCCATGCGCGCACCATTCCCGCGCTTCGCGATGTATGCGCGCGCGCGCATTCCCGCGCTTGCGCGCCCTATAGCGCCAGCCATTCAGATGCATCCATCCACTGTCCACCAAGCTCCCTAGTATGTATATTTCCATTTCCTTTATTAGCATAGTTCCACCTTTATTTTTATCATAGTTTCTCACTCATATATATTTTTACATACCTACTCGGTAGCGCTTCGGCTCCGCATAACAGCGCTTAGGCGCCTATATAAGCGCCAGCAGTACATACTATTACTTACCTTACCTTTACCTCCCATTTACTAGTTACTACCCACTTACTACTTAGCAGAATATAGTAGAAAGCTATTCCTTTACATTTTGCACTCTTATATCTCATATCTTGCTTTATATCACTACTTAAGCTTAGTTTCTCATTTCCACATACGCGCGCGCGCTTTCCCGCGCTTCGCGCTAATACGCGCGCGTGTTCCCGCGCCTTGCGCGCACCTGCGTTTTCTCGCGCTTCGCTGAAGTGCGTACCTCTAGATCTTCGCAGCACTCGCTTCCCCTAGGGTCGAACGCACTTGTCTCCTCAAGTAACGCAGACTAGGCAACGCGCGACCTCACAACTTTTTATAGATACTCTCAGGAGCATCATTTGTTCCTCTCAGTATTGTTGTTTCTACACTGGGTGAATGTGTGTACCCAAGACACATGGATGGGCTAAGGGTACATTATATAGACAGTGGTATAGGAATGTATTAGTATATGGGACATTATAAATGCTAATTCCTGTTTACATTGGAGACAAGTGGGCCGGCCGGATGTGTGTACCCAAGGTAAACAAATGGGCCGACCATATGAGTGGGTTGAGTGAATCTGTGTACCCGACACATACAAATGGGCCGAGAGCATACAGTATAGATAGTTATATAGGAATTTACTAGTATACATGACATTATTAATACCAAATTTTGTGTACGATGGAGACGAGTGGGCCGGCCAGGATGTGTACCCAAGGTAAACGGATGGGCCGGGGGTATATAGCAGACTTACAGGAATCTTATCAAATAGCGAATCTGGTGTAAAATGGAAACGACTGAGCCGGACGAATGATATACACCGGAGATCCGGTCATATTATCATCCGGCAGGTGCATTTTTAATCACTGGCCCATGATCCGGTAGCTACATTATCCGGTTGATGAATCATTTCACAAGCCCATTGGCCGGTATACTACATACATGAACCAGTCAATCTAATACACCATCTAGTACATTCTACCTTGGCATTAGATTGTCCTTATTGACAAAACAAACTACATGTACTGGCATTACTTGGCCCTATTACCAGAAGGGTTCTTGTCATGCCTAGCACTCACCAACTGACCTTGTTGCTGTGATTGAGGTGCAAATGCCCGGTTCGGCAAAGGAGCCGAAAGGGACTGACCATCTGCCGGCAGATGTGGTGGCCTGGTGAGCATGGTGCGAAGGGTACTAGTGGAGGGCATAGATGCCATTGGGACAGTAGGGGCCGGTACCGGAAGTGCACTAACCGGATGACTGTGTGGACCGGATTCCCCCATGGTGGGGACAGGGTTGATGGTAGAGGTGGAGGGTGTAGGTACCTGCTCATGCCTTGCGACTGGTGAGCCATCTCCGACAGGACGCGTGTTGGTTGAAAACACATCCGGAGTGAAGACATTGTTGGTGATGGAACAACCCAAGGCGCTGATTGAGCCAAAGTCAGGGAATGTGGGGGTATCGGGGATGACAATGGGTGGCGGATTGAATGCTGGTGGAGTTGAACCGGCTGCTGTGGTGGCCCTGTGGCTGTTGCTGAGGTACCGGGCAATACCGCTGACCTGAAAAGTCAATGTATCTACCACTCCCTTCTGGGAGGCTAATTCATTTGTAAAGCTGGCTTGCAGCCAGTCGATACGATGGGACAGCTCATCATGAATAATGTTGTCACGTGTCCAGAGCTGATCCATGTCGATCTGAATTTGTGCCAGGAGGGCATCCATCTCGACATTGGTCAAAGAACGGGGCTGGGGAGTCTGACGAGGTACAGAAATGTCGACAGGAGAGGCGGGTCTTCGAGTATGAGGATAGTCCAGCAAGTACTGGATGTCATCCGGTGTCTCTATCAATGGTGCTGGGGGCAGGGTAGTCTCATCCATGGCTTTGATCCATCGATCCATCGAAAAATCATCGACAGATACCTCAGGGCCTGCATCGGTAGCAGTGCCAGGATGTTCAGTGCCGGTGAGTGCAGGGGCATCAGTCATATCAACATTGACATCCGGTTCCTCCGGAATAGGACTGGGACACTGAGTTTGGACGACTAGAAGAATACAATTAGTAGATATACTACGGAAAATAAGATTCTTGCCTTTACCTTTGCCTTGGTTTTTTGACTGCCCAACAGTCTTGGTTTTTCCGGTCGTCTTGGAGCGAGTGACGATGGCTGTGGCCAGTAGGACCGGATCATCCAGCCAGATGCATTTCATCCTCCACTTGCTGCAAAGAATGCAAGTATGGGCGACCTCGCCCCTTTTGGTCAACCAGCTTTCGCATTTGGCCTTCATAATTGTGCATCTCCTGCATGGTAGGAGAGGCGTACCAATGGGTTTCTATGAAGAATTAGTATAGCACAACCGGTGGAGAGTTACCGGATGTCTTACTGGCTGTGGACGCTTGCCCCTGGTCTTTGCCTTGTCCTTGGCTGTTCTGGTACGATCTGTACCGGACTTGGACTATCATCATGATTATATTAGCCATACTCACGATAGGTGCAATAATATGAAAACTTACTGGTAATTGTCCCTTGCCCGGTTTGACCCGTGTCCCAGAAGGCTCAATTGCATCGTCTTCATCCGCCGCCTCCTCCTCCTCCTCCTCCTCCGGTTCGTATTCCTCCGAGTCAGCGGCCTTCTTCTTCTGGTCTGGAGGGGGCAGCATTGGCCGAGTGGTAATGACAATGGTTGGTAAATTCTGTACGAATCAATGACATTGCCGGTGTTGATATTGAAAAAATGAATGTACCTTTTTGATCATGGTTTGTCTTGGATTATGGAGCTGACTGCTATTGTCAGTTGCATTTGAAGTATGAAACGGAAACTCACAATGACTTCCGGATCATGATTGCCATCTTCCATCATCATTTGCCGGTTATCGCGATCCGGTGACATTGCCCTTGCCTTCGCCTTTCCCTTTCCTTTTCCCTTCGCCTTGGGCTTATCTTTGCCAATGTGAACTGTATCGCCGTCAGTGTCCATGTCTGTTAACAGTGGCTTCGACTTGGGGATAGCCTTCCGGGCCCTCTTGACCTGACGTGGGGGACTCACGCTGAATTGTCGTTTGTGTGGTCTCGATGGGCCTGCAATGGCACCAGATGTATTGCCAGGAATGCGGATTGTGTTGGGAGCCAGTAGTGCCGGAACCGGTGGAGCAAATGCTGGTGGAGCAGGTGCCGGTGGAGGAGCAGGTGCCGGTACAGGAGCAGGTGCCAGTTGAGGAGCAGGTGCCGGTTGAGGAGCAGGTGCCGGTACAGGAACAGGTGCCGGTACAGGAGCAGGTGCAGGTGCAGGTTTGGCTACAGGTGCAAGTGCCGGTACTGGTGCCGGTGGAGGGCCAGATAGCAGTGTTGGTGCAGCGGTAGTGGTTGGTGGAGTGGGAGCAGGACCCAATGTCTTAGGGTATAACAGATGACCTTGGCAAATGTCCTCATTGTTGCCAACACGAGTCCAATCCGGTACTTGAACCAATCGCATGGTACCCCTCTGAGCTCTATGAATCTCAGCTGCCATAGAGAGCAGGCGAAGGGGGATGTAGGTAGCCGTCGTCCGGTAGGAGTGAATGGCATCATTCTAATGATATTAATGGATACAATACAAAAAAAATGACAAACATACCATTTGAGATGCAATGGCTCTGCTCAACCTCATCCTCTCATCTTCTGACCGGGACCGGAGAACCTCTTCAACCATCTGATTCAACCTGGCGAGAAGGGCAATGAGTGCCTGGTTGGCAGTGGTGGCAGCAGCAGTACTAATGTTGGAAGACATATCAGCAGTAAGACAAAATGACGGTAGCAGGTTGGCTTGCAAAAGAAATCCGGAAGGGAATGAGGAAATTGAAAATTGCTGGATGTTCGGGTGATTTCGGATATTGCCGAAAGAACAATGAATGTACCGGTTCTCTTGATCCAGCAGGGAACGAGGAAATTGAAAATTGCCGGATGTTCGGGTGATTTCGGATATTTCCGAAAGAACAATTAATGTACCGGTTCTCTTCTCCGAAGTTGCCATGTGTCCTTGTGCGAATGCCATTGTTGCCATGTCATTGCTATCAAATTGGCATGAGTACAGCATCCACTGACAGGCTTTGGAACAACCCATGACACATTCCGGATATCGCACAAAATATACTGATTTAGACAAGTCATTCAGCAGAAGGAGGAAAAGAATTTTGCCCTCAGAGATTATTGAGGATCATTTACACTTATCTAGCGAGGCCAAAGGTAATAAATCAATTGCCTTTCCGAAAGGTACCTCACATGATCCGGCAGTGTTTTTCATATTGGAACCAGGACACGACAGCCTTGGAATGAATTGCTGAAACATTGGCGACTGTAAGTCCTCTCATACTGACCTATACACCTAATTATTGATGCCTTCTAGACCTAGATGTTGCATCTGCTTATGACCGGTGGAAGGATGGCAAGACTTTGACGATGCCAGAATGCAGGATCGAGAACAGCCAGTCATTAGACATGGGTTTCGACCGGTTCCCAAGCCAACCGGTGTCAGACGCATTGGATATGGGGTTCCCTCTGTCCAATACTAACCGGTCTTCAATTGCCACACCTATATCCGAGTTGGACATGGGATTTCCACCTGGCCATTCATTCAATACCAATGATTTCGTGGAGCTGGCGACTGGTGTAGATGCGGAATCTTGACTATACATAAAAACACTTAAAACAAAAGGGTGCTCAACAGCAACACCGGGATACGAGACAACGACTCGACCCAAAGGACAACCACTGAGAGAAGTTCCTCGAAATACAAGTGGAGGGAAACTCTATGAGCTAGGCGGGCGCTGATAGGTGCGAGAAGATAATGCGCGCGAAGGCGCGCGAGATGCGTGCGTGAGCGGGAGGTCCGAGAATGCGCGCGCGCGAAGCGAAGGCGCGCCTAAAGTGTTAGAGGCAAGATCTTATTGAGGAGTGAGTGCACAGATGGATTATTGACAAGAGAATAAGATCAGATAACAAGTGAGGAGGTGATCTATTCACTTTCCTGTATACAAAGATAAGGGAAAAGTAAGTACCAGAACCAAAGGAAACCCTTCTGTATTTAAGAATGGAGATGGCGCGCTTCCGAGCGCGCTCCCGAACCGAGTAACCATATCAACTCTAATTATAACTAAGTTTAAATAAACTTTCTAAAAGTAGCGTGGACGTCGGACCGAAGATTTTATTAGTTCAATGGACGAGATAGAAATAACACACCAGCGAATCAGTAAGGACATGGGACGGATGGACGGACAATAGCGCGAAGACCTATGAGGAGGCGCACGTGCGCAGGTAAGGCGCGCCTAAGTGCGCGCGTGTTCGGATAAGGCACGCGCGAGTGCGCGCGAGACTGGTCCTTAGGAGTAGAGTTGTATCATATAGGAGTTGATGGTTAAAGGCCGGATATTCGGCATTGAGATGTGCGAGTCTCTACACCGGCTCTCTGAACTTCCTGGCACACAATCAACTGGCCGGTGGCTCAGGTATTTGGTTGATTCAATATGCAAGGCATGGGATTACTCATGATTATCATCAAGTCAATGATGTTTCGGTGAAAGACAGCCCTTTGGACATGGGTTTCAATTCACCTGCAGTTCAACACGGTCATCCGGATTTGGACATGGGCTTTCATTCACCTCCGGTTCAACAGGGTTTCAATTCACCTCCGGTTCAACACGGTCATCCGGATTTGGACATGGGCTTTCGTTCACCGGTTCAACATCATGATCCGGACCAGAGGTCTTTAGACATGGGCTTTCATTCACCTCAGGCTCAACATCATGATCCGGACCAGATGTCATTAGACATGGGCTTTTATTCACCTCCAGTTCAGCATCGTGATCCGGACCAGATGTCATTTGACATGGGTTTTAATTCGCCTGTGGTTCAACATGATCATCTGGACCAGAGGCCTTCCGGTGTTGATCCGGTTGATATTCCGGATCAGTCAAGTGAGTTTTATCATTTTATTAGGTTACGCTGTTACATGTACATTCAGTGGGTCTTCAATCGGAAGAGACACCTTTCGACATGGGCTTTGGGACAGATCCGGCACATGATCTTGCCCATCAATCGAATATTCAACCGGAAGAGACCCCTTTGGAGATGGCTAGTGAACCGGAACCTATCGGATTTGTGATTCAGCGTGCTGTAGGTGACTTGCGCTTGGCAATGCACTGGTTGGAGATGGAAAGGGCTCATGGTACAATGTCTCCGGAAGAAGCACTTGTCAGTGAGGAAGTTCTTCAGTCCACTAGTGAGTTATTATTAGCATTTCAACTTATATCAATATACCGACTGTCGACATGACATCTATATATACCATTGATACTTTCCACCCCTTGTATAGTACATTCAATGAAATGTGATGATTACGCTCTTTGCATGTAATTCACTTTATAAGACACCTTTGCAGCTCTAGTGGAGCGCTTTGGCTCCGGCTTATCAATGTGAGCTCCATCTGTTTGAGTTTTCTTACCAGTGCCCTGTGTGGTGGCAGGAGCCGTTGGTTTAGGTGCAGGTATCTTCTGACTGGACTTCTGCTTCTGACCGGACTTCTTCATTTGACTGGCTGATGCAGGACCAACAAAGCTACTTCTCGATGCAGTTTTGGGAGGCAGTGGGGCTGTAGAATGATTGCTGGATGATTCTGCTGAAGGAGTGCCAGCATCGTCCTCCAGTGCTATGTTGCGCCCAATGACATTTGATTTAGATTTCTTGACCAATGGGCCGGAGTCTTCCTCCGGATGAAATTTGATGGCTCTGCTTCGCTTTCCAATAGATTGGCACTCCGGGGGCGGTGATTGGACTTCAGCATTGCCTTCATCCCCATTCTCTTCCTCACCACTTGACTCCACTTCCACCCTTCCGGCCGGCTTACCGGATGATTTTCCAGTTGACTTTGCAGGTGGTTTTTTAACCGGAATAGATTGGACAGCTTTGCCTGGCTTTCCGGTCGATTTCGGCTTTCCAGTCAATTTCAGCTTGGAAGGCGGTGATCGAGCTTCATCGTTTTCACCTTCGCCTTCACCATCCTCGCCCTCACTGCTTGACTCCGGTTCCACCCTGCTGGTTGACTTGCCAGATGACTTTCCGGTCAACCTACCGGTTGGTTTTTGAACCAGAACTCTGGTCTTTGCTGTTACTGGACTGCATGTTGTGCTAGAGTCGCTCTCTGAGATCTTCTCCACCGGCTCCCTCATCTCCTTCTCATGGTCTTGCCAGCCTTTGAATTCAAATGTTGGCCGAACCTTGTCCTTTTGTCTCTGATGCCAGAACTGCAAGAGCCGGTCAGCGTCATGCAGCTGAAGCTTGGACGGGTCCTTGATCTTTCCACTGGTAGGCAAAAACTTGGGCTCAATGAAATTCTCTTGAGCCTCCGTCACTGCAGACCAAGGAACAGACGCCTTTGGCTTTTGACTGCAAAACCCTGCGAAATAAGTAATTCCTCTATCAACCCTCCAGATATTTCATTTGTGAAACTTACTGTAGTGTTTTGTGAGGAATGTCCGGATAAGAGACTTTTTGTTTTCTAAGTTGAGGGGCTCAATATCTGGTATGACCGGAAGCCCATAGGCATCGACCTCTAAAGTAAACTCCTCCTTCTTTCTCCTTGGATTTCTGCTCTCCTTTCCATCAGCATCCTCATTGCCATTGTCATCATTATTCCAGTCAATTGCTGGCATCACATGGTGTAAGTACTTGACCGGATGCATCAACATTGCACAAAAAAAGAAGCTCACCAAACTCTTCTCCAACATAGGCATTCCACTCTGGTAACATGGACTTCCAGTCCTTTGTATCTGTGAAACTATTGCCCTCTAACTTTTCATTGAAGTCAATTCTTATGACCGGATCAGGCCGTCTTTACCGGTTGAGAGAATTAAAATGTCACTCACCCATTGATCCTCACCTCGCCTTCCTCGGTTTTCCATGCAGACAATATGAATATCCTCATACCAGCCTGCCTCCATAACTGAGTCGCAAGATCCTTCATCATACCAGGAGCTTTCTTCTGAGCGAACTCAGCCTGGACATCTGTAGGAGGAGCACTGCTAGACCATTCTATAGCAGTCGTATTTGCTTCATCCAGCTGCTCTTCAGATAAACCGGCCATAATTGCATTGACCGCACCCTGGTAGTGTTTAATCATTTCCTTCCCTCCTGGCCTTGCTCTGGTCTTTTCAAGGATCTCCTTCTTGTACTGGTGTTCTATCACCAACCGGGTAGTCCATTTCTTACTGAACTTGCTTCATTTTTTGAGTGTCTTTTCCGCTCTCCGGTTATATAACCAGTCCCGGTACATCTTCATCCATCATGAGCATTTATGAAATTAGAAGATTGGCTGCTTACAGATTTCCTTTTCTTCAACAGCCGGGCATCCATCTTAGGGGCTTGCATCTTGGCCTCTTTTATGACCGCCTTCAAAATCGTTTTCCTATCCTTACCGGTCGCTTCCTTCCATTCTTCTAGGTGAGATTGTAAGACCAGCAGCTCTTCCTCAGTCAATTTCTGCTTGGTCTTTTGGGGGCTGTGTACTGATGAGTTGGATCGGGCCATTGCAAAGCAGTTGAGGTCTTGGTAGAAGAAAGGATACAGTATAATCTTACATAGCCAATCGCCACCATGTATCCGAAAGTAGAACCGAACAAGAGATTGTCTGCCAACATGATACTCTTAGGCTTAACATGCCCTGTGTTTCCGGTTCATAGAATTTAGGACTGCAAAACACACAAACTTAGACCAAGTTTATCATATAGTATACAGGCAGCATACAGTAATACTCTCAAAATGCCATACAGCATAGGGAGACACATTTATACCGGAAGAAATCTATGGGAATTGGGATGATGGCAGGATTATGATGTGTTTGATTAACTAACCCGGAAATGACGAAACTTATGGCAAACTCGGTTGCTCTGACCTTAATATATCCTAAATAGAGATGATGTTCCAAGATTTCTGATCACCTGGTAACCTCACTGACACATAGGAACAGAAAATGTAGTAATCCGGTGATTCAAATTACTCAGAGGCCGGAGTTGGTACCTCAATGACAAACAGGAATGGTAATCCGGTGATTCAAATCACTCCGGCCTCTCAAATCACTCAGAGGCCAGAGTTGAAGGAAGGAACAGGTGTAAAGTTATATGCCTGCCGATCATCAAGCTTAAGTGCACTCCCCAGCCCAACAATCCTTTAGGTCTTGGTATCAATCATGGCAAATACCAAACAAAAGGGAATCACATACACTCCTCCGATGAAGAAACGATTGCCTCAGCTATATAAACTGAAGGAGAAAACTACTTCCAGAGGAACCAGGTCATCTTAGGTGAAAGATTCATGGTCCCTGAAAACAAAGTCGGTGACATCCTCACCAACAAAATCTCCCTCAAAGCACACAGCCGGGTTCTCTCAGATGCTCTATGATGGTGCTGACTTTGACTTTGACCAAGGCTACATGCCTCAGCCTAAATTACCAAAATCTCTGGCAAGCAGAAGTTCTTCTGATATCTGCAGTCTTCATCTGACCGGATCATGCAGAGTCAGAATGAATATCTCCGGCAATGGAAGCGCAAGTTCAAGGACTACATAAATTTACTCATGGTCCGAGAAACCCCTCCTCTGGACCAGCTTTGTGAAGTTTGCAAGAAGGATGGGGTTTATAAATGCCACAGGTGTTTCAACGAGCCCCTGTTTTGCACAGAGTGCTGCAGAACCCAGCATCAAAGACATCCTTTCCATCGCATCAGTCAATGGACCGGATCATTTTTTCAAGAAACTTCACTTATGAAAGTCGGCCTGCACATTCACCTTGCTCATGATGGCACTCCATGTCCCAGCAGCACTGAATACTCATCAGACCTCTTTGAATGGTCAGATACCGATGAACATATAGACCATAATGATTATCCGGAGGGAACTTCCATTCCACTTGTCGCAGACTCAGATCATCCGGCTACAACCATAGTCGACAAATCCAGTGTTCACTCCGTATCCATATGGTATTGCCACTGCCCCGGAGCTCTAAACCCGGATATGCAGCTCTTTCAAGCAGGCTTATTTCCAGCATCCTTCACCAGACCAAAAACTGCATTCACATTCTCCGTGTTGGACGACTTTCTGCTAGACAACCTGGAATGTGGTACATCAGCCATGAATTACTACAGTAAGATCTGGAGGCTAACCTCCAGCATCTTTCCATTGATGGTTCCGATAAGTCGGTTTTCATTCTCTACTTCAGCCGGTCATTGAACAATAATATTTGCAGGATCGCTACAGAGAGCTCATGAGGACTGCCAGACAATGGTGTCAATGTAAGCTCTACAAGTGGCATGGGTTTGCCCATAAAAACGATGAGCCTAAGACCGGTGACCTCGCCCTATTCTGTCCGGCATGTCCTCAACCGGGGATAAATTTGGACCGGTCAACCGGTATGGCCACTCAGCCGGACGACACCCCTTCCTGGCTCTTCACCAGGACTTTGGTCATGGATGGTAATTTTAAAGCCGAGCACCTCCATCTGGTGAATCCATCTGATGAAGTATCATTGATTGATGGTCTTGCATTCATGGTCGGAGATGAAAGATACAAGAGTCATTTGGCTGTTGCCCAAGACCATGTCCAAAAGTCAGATTGTAACAATCACCACGCAGTCAATCAAGCCAATGCCTCTCGACAAAAGCTAGAGGCCACAGGTATAGGAGGATGTGCATGTGCACGGCATGGATGTTTTGTCCCACATTCCATGGTGGATTTTCAGAAGGGTGAAAGGTAAATGGACATTGCATCCAGTTACATGCATTTCCGGTCTTACTGATCTCGAAAAATAATCAGGCAGATGAACATGGACTATGCCTTGAGTCAAGCACTCAACTACAATACAGATGGAATCTCACGAGCAATAATGTTCTATGATATAAATTGTCAGTATAATAAGTTTCTCAAGGACCGGATTGCATCAAGCATGTATCTGTCCATCCCCATTGGCATGGATATCATTCCTGGAATAGGTTTGTGGCATGTGCATGGCCATCAGGACAGCTGCTATGTCCGGTATGCATCGAATTTTATCCATGGGACTGGCAGGATAGACGGAGAGATCATGGAAACACTCTGGGCATCTTTAAACATAATCTCCCCTTCAGCCAGGGGCATGGGAACTCCTCATCACAAGGAGGTATTGGATTATCAGATGAATGATTCAAACTTCATGAAAATGATTTGCATAAGTGAGTTGCCAATATCCAGATGTACAAAAATGGCCCGGTCTCATATTATTCATTCCCGGCTGACCTGCCCCTTAGCCAAGTTTCTTTGCAGAAAGTTTAAAGAGGCTGTTCAGGGTGCTGCAGAGAGCACACTCTCATTCCAAAATCTTAACGAGACAGTTCAGCCTGCCATGGTCATTCTTTGGGAAGCAGAGGAGGCTGTTGCTCAGGCAAACAGACTGGAGGATCCAACAGCCATGGACATTTATGAGGTCCGGTTGGAAAAAGGCAAGTGTCAAATTCTACTACTACTCATCCGGTCCTGATCACATACAGATTATTATCCGGATGGCATGATCTACAGCTCCAACTAGAAAGCAGCAGGAGTTGCGCCTGCTGGAGGCTCAAAATCGCCCGGATCATCTAGCTACCAATTCCCCTAGTCGGCGAGGAGCAGCCACTTGGCTCGCAACTGGTCTGACCATAGAAGAATCCCAAATCTCTCTCTCTAGAGATGTGAAAAGGCTCGGAAGGCATCCTACAGACATTCAATTGTTGACAGTAGCCCGACTCAGAGATAAGCTGCAAACTCGCATTACAAGCTTTCTTGAGATGGCACCTACCTATCTTGGATTTGCAGTTGATGGCAATGAACAGGATTCTCCGGTAGACACGGTTCATAATTCACCGGATGAAGATTATTCCGATCTCGATGATGATCACAATCCGGATCCGGATCCGGAAACACATCATGCCTCCATCTTTCAACCTGAGCTCACTATCTTACCTTTGCCTTCCAACCTCGGTATAGTGAGATGCAATGAATTGGGTCTCACCGATCTCATGAAAGAAGAAACTGCCCTTCGTGAAGGTCAGGCCAATGACGCCCTTCATGCAATTAGAGTTCATTTGGGAGATAAAGCTGTTATATTCCGGAATACTATCCGGTCAGCCAAGTCACAAGCCTCCTCCACCAGGGCATGGACTCAGGTTTGCTCGGTGGAAATGGTAGTCAATCTCAATGCCAGGATATATTCAAAATGTCGGTTGCAGCTAGCCAAACTCCCTGATCACAACCTCCTGAAGAAATATCTTCCGCTAAAGAAAGAACACCTGAAGGCAAACACTGCAGTTGCAGATCCAAATGCACGTGGTCAGAGGGACGCTACTCTCACATGGTTCTGGTCAATCAATGTTCAGGGTGATACATCCGGAAATGACTGGATGACAGAATGTGAGTATCCTGCATATCCGTTGATATTGGGTGATCCGGTCTCACATATTGCAACAACAGTCTATCAAGTCAATTGGCTCCGGACAAAGGCCCTGTGCGATCAGTTGGAATGAAGAGGTCATTCTTGTCAAACATGAAATGCAGTGGTCTGTCAATTTCTTTACCTACAAGGCCAAGCAATGGCTAAGTCTCATGGACAATGCCACTTACACTGGGCTAACCGGACATGCGTGTTATGCTGCCCGACAATGTCACATATATCAACAACTAGCTGCACATGCAGCGGAGTCTTTTCAGAAAGTGATTCCGGTCATTCAGCCGGAAGTACCAGTTGTTAGTTCATAGTTCCAGTACCGGTTAAAATAGTTCCCGGATTAGCTAATATGTAGTTATATTGAAAATGTGAGAATAAAACAAACTGTCAGTCTCACCATCACATCATCGTCATACACTCACCATGAACAACACCGCCACTTTGGTTCCCTCTGATCAAATCATTGTGGCCTACTCGGATGGTGAGATCACCGCCGGACAGATTTCTCCTGATTTGTTCTATGCCAATTCTCGCTTGTTGGCCATGCGCCTGTATGTTGACAAGAGCTTTGCCACCGCCATGCCTGGTTATGCAGAAAATTTTTACACCCTCATGCAATGGGAAATGGAGGTAAGCATCCAGTTGTCCAGTTGTCCGGTTGTCCAGGTGTCCGGTCAACCGGTCAATTCTTATCTTGCACTCAAATAATGTTGCCTGTCATGTAGACTTTTGTAACTCCATTCATCAACATATCCTTCCTGACCAGGTGCTCCGCTACCATTCCAAAACTTCTCCACGCTGTGATTGCAATTTTGGTTGTGAATAAATTTGTGGACCGGCAACCGGATGTGAATGAGGTCCTCATGGATATCAAAGCATTGCCTCTTTCTGTCAATTCCGCCACATCAGATGAATATGACATTGCTCGTATGTCAGACTACTTCAATGCCTGGTGAAAGGAGAACCTGGGCTCTTGCAGGGTGCTGGACATGTTGCCAAAATCATCTGTCCAAGATGTGATGGAGTTGGTTGAGGGCCATTTTTCAGAACTTGTGAGTCCATGAGATCTTGACCTCCTACACCGGATCCTCACTAAATCTTACTTGCATTGTAATAGCCGGATCATGTGGAAACCGACCTCCTCCCGTATATGCTCACACATGGCCCGGTTCGTCAACTGGAAACGGTCAGATCAGCATCTCTTGAGCAGTGCCATCAGACGACAATCGGTAGAGAGCTGTTGGAAATTTTGCAGAGAAGGATGACAAACTTTTTACGTTCAAGTGATAAGTTGGCTAGAGTAGTTGGGCCGGTTGCTGAACTCACTAGGGCTGTGGCGTCCTCACAATCACTAATGGACTGGTTGAATACAGATGCCAGTGAATCCGTACGGTCAAGCCCAATCTGACGTCTGGAAGCCTTCAGTAGATATGTTATACCCATGTATATTAAAATGCAATGTGAATGGGTGATGATTTTCGAAGATGAAATCTGGTCCATTGCATGTGACACGGATTCCTGCTCATTGTTATCTGGTTACAGATTCATGAAACACTTCTTTTCTTTCCTCATACTTTAACCACTCATTGATTTCCTGAACACATGACAACAATTCCACCAGACTGGGCATTATACCAGACCTACCTTGCCGGTGAATTGGTTTATGACACCTTCATGTCCAAAATTCATCAGCAACCGGTAAAGCCAATGAGTGTTGGACTTTTAGATGTCGACACTTGTATTGCTTTGGAGCAGCTTGCCAATGTCCTGGCCGTTGCTTACTTCAATCCTGGTATGCATTCTCGCATATATATCTGTGCCGGTCGAGTAACTTGCAAACAGTTCATCTCAAAATTGACATGGTTAGATACAATGAATCTCTGGAAAAATATGAATCCGGACGAAGCGAGAAACAAGAGCAAACTCTTTTAGACAAATTCCCTCCTGCAGAACAGGTTGTCCTAAGAACACCGAGTGTCATCATTGATTCCGGAGGCAGAATCATTGTCTGGTATTTGCCCGGAGCCATGACTGGCATGATAATGGTTTGTCTCATATCCACATTCATTTCTTATTTCATCTCATCCAGATGTATATGACAATATTCACAGACAGACATGCAATGCGCCACAAATTCCATAGGACATCTGTTGAACGACAGCATCACCACCAGGAAGGCTACTGAATGGAGGACCCATGAGTCCAATTTCTATCCGAGTCCGGATGGGAAGATCACACCCAGTTGCATCAATATATCACCCGCCTGGTTTCAGCAAGGCAGAGAGGTATGTCCGGTTCGCATCAATTGGTGTTGCTAGTCTAAAGTATTGTAGAAACATGGTTTCCCAAAACTTGATCCGGAAGATGGCTTCTCACCTCAGGTATCCGCTGCATTGAAAGGTGATGTTGGTCGCAATATCACAACCTCCCTTCAAAGATCCAGTATCCTTGTCTCTGCTGCACTTCGGGTCATGCACCCAGATCTATATCGGGCTGGAATCAAAACTCAAGTCAGGCTCGGTGAATGGGTGACCCAGTATCAGTTAGAAGACATGTGCCATCATCTCAAACATTGGGCATCTGTCTTCAATGTAGTGTCAGTCATTTGCAATCGCCGGTCACCACCTCATAGAGATCCAAAATGTCGACCGGAGGCATTTGATATTATGACAACCGCAGGCGTTTATCATCCGGTCATAATGGATTTCATGAATCTCGGCATCAAGTTTCTATATGACTCTGGGTCAATGTTGGCCTCATCATGTCGCCTTGTCAGACATCACATGCATGTTGAACAGGGTAGCCGGATTGTCACTGCGTGGTACATGCGAGATAGTATCCATAATTTTGTTGGAACTCCAAGGACAGACTATGCAAAATATGGCAATGTACAACGCAGTGACCCGGTTGAGCAGAAAGATGTCTAGACATGTGATGATGAATATTTTAGTCTACTTCGATTGATATTCACCTGTGCAATGTTTTTAGCATATGATAGTGGATATGCCGGACGACAGGCTTGTGAGATGTGACAGATGCACCAGATTATCACCTACCGGATTGTATATTTGCCTGTACCGGATCATCACCTACCGGCTCGTATATTTGCCTGCACCGGATCATAGATACACCGGATTATCACCTACCGGATCGTATATTTGCCTGTACCGGATCATAGGCCAGTGAGAATATTGATGTACCTGCCGGATGATAATCTGACCGGATCTCCGGTGTATATCATTCGTCCAGCTTGGTCGTTTCCATTTTACACCAGATTCGCTATTCGAGTAGATTCCTGTACCAGTCTATACTATATACCCCCGGCCCATCCGTTTACCTTGGGTACACACATCCGGCCGGCCCACTCATCTCCATCGTAAACAGGATTAGGTATTAATAATGTCATGTATACTAGTAAATTCCTATATCACTATCTATATTGTATGCTCTCGGCCCATCCGTATGCTTCGGGTACACAGTAGTGCTGCCGAAGTCCGGTTCGGTTCGGTTCTTGGGGCAAATTTTCCGAACGCCGAACCGAACCATAGGTTCGGTTCAGCCATTTGGTCGAACCCTGGACCGAACGTCACCGAACGCGTTCGGGAGGGTCCGGTTCGCGTTCGAACCAGGTTCGACTAAGCTTGGACCATCTGTGGTTGTATAGGCTCGAGACCATGAGTTGTCATGTAATTCGAGTCGGACAGACAACGAAAAGACTCTAACGCAAGGAGAACTTCTTTGTACAAAGATTGAATTTAAGTTTCTAAAATAAACACATTTTATTTGCCCGGTGCACATAGTTCCCTGATCACATTCTCATCGATCCTCTTCTCTAAACATATCTCAAACGCAGCAGCATGTACGGTTGCAGTATTCGAGATTGCAAGCGTGTCAATCTTCGCTGCAGGATTCTCTGAAAGGCGGAAAGCCCAGAGAATAACAGCCGTATTGATGAAGATGGACCGATTCGCGACATGTTGACCAGGACACACTCTAGTATTTTCAAGTAAGGCATGAGAAAAGGTGGAAAGATGAACGATACCACTCACCGGCGGCCAAAACCAAAAGTGAAAAACTTGAGATCAGTGATCACCGCGCACACGACCTGCATCGTCGCGCGATGCGCAAAGCCTGTAGTGAAAGGTGGTCGTCCATTATCGCATCATCACAACTGAAATAAGACGTACCTCCAATAGCAGCCACTGTGACACTAATCCCATCAGCTACCCCTGACAGGTCTCCACCTGAGACCCTCGAGGATGAACACGGTAACTTGCGGCATAGCTTGAGCTCGAACGAAGACCGACAGACTCACGAACTGCGAACGGTGGGCAACGACTTGTATCAGCATGGCTGTTGCTCGAACGAGGATTGACACACTCACGACCTGCGAACGGTGGCCAACGTCTTGGATCAGCACGGCTCTTGTTCGAACGAGGAACGGTGGCCTGGTCCGCCAACGATTTGGATCAGAATGGTTCGAGCTCGAAAATCTTGACATACTCACTTCCTGCGAACAATAAGCAACGACTTTGATCAGCATGGCTCATAACATTCCCAAGTAGTACTTACCTATATTAATCATTAGCAAGAGTTCAAAGTGTTTGGAATTCATATAGCGACATAAGATACCTAGTGTTTGAACATGTTGTGACGGTGCAGTACTGTGTCACAGCGCGTCACGACTGCGGCAGGCGCGACAGAGGACCGCGTCAATTTCACCCGGCTCAAACCTGCGCGGGTTGCAGACACATGCATTTGCATATATTGACACATAGTAAATACTTACATCTTTTTAAAAAAGTGTAAAGCGTACAAAAATTGAGAGGTTCGAACCCGTTCGAACCTATTCACTACCAGCCCGAACCCCGAACCTCTGGAAAGGTTCGGTTCTGAGTCTTGGCCGAACCTCGGACCGGACCATGCGTCCGGTTCGGAAAGGTTCAGGTTCGAACCGAGGTTCGGAACCGGACTGCGGCAGCACTAGTACACAGATTCATTCAGCTCACTCATATGGTCAGCCCATCCGTTTACCTTGGGTACACACATCCGGCCGGCCCACTCGTCTCCATCGTAAACAGGATTTAGCATTCATAATGTCATGTATACTAGTAAATTCCTATATCACTATCTATAATGTATGCTCTCGGCCCATCCTTATGTGTCGGGTACACAGATTCACTCAGCCCACTCATATGGTCGGCCCATCCGTTTACCTTGGGTACACACATCCGGCCAGCCCACTCGTCTCCAATGTAAACAGGAATTAGCATTTATAATGTCCTATATACTAATACATTCCTATACCACTGTCTATATAATGTACCCTCAGCCCATACATGTGTCTTGGGTACACACATTCATCCGGCCCACTCGTATATCATGGTACAATTATGTCCATGGGCCCACATGGGATGGCCTGTTCCCAATGGTACATTGTCACACTCAGCTGTCCGTCTGAGACGGGTGAATGTTGCTGTATTATGTGGCTAAATGGCCAGACTATATTGCTGATTTTTAATTAGCCATACCTTGCTGCTATTTAGAACAATTAGCCATACCTTGCTGTCATTTAAAACAATTTGACGTGTCCTAGTAGACACCTAGGAAAGCTTTTACGTGCCCTACGAAACACTAATAGGAAGACTTTCACACTTCGAGTACATGAAAAAATTAATATCATTAAAATCGGGTATCAGGCTGATGCAGTAATGTACGACTCATATGAGCAAAACAAACACGAGAAAACATAGCGAGTGGTGAGATATAGCGAGCAGTGGGGTATCGAAGATTAAGTCCTATGTCCTGCAAAATATGGCACAGCGTCAGTGAGGTATTCTACTCGTCATCCATTCCCTCAAGGTCCAAGAATGCTAGATCGGTATCAGTGCCATAGACTCCAATTGCGTCACGACGGAAATGCCTGTAAGCAACAGTAAGTCAGCAACGTGTATACCAAATTGGATGTGGACTTACTGGACCTCCTCGTAAATATCGGCCATCATTTTATGAAATTTGACAGGAGCCGTCCTTCGGATTCTCTCCAACAATGCCACATGGTATGTATAGATATCACAGAATTGGTTACCAGTGAACTTAAAATCTTCACCCGCCTTGTTCTTCTTTGCAATGAGAACGGCGTGGATCTAACAACAAAGAAGTGAGTCAATGGACAGATGAGTGCAAACACAAATTTACAGCTGTGCTGACCATGGCCAACATGGGGATAGGGATTTCTGGTCAACCAGTTTTGTTCTCCGCAATGTCAAGAAAGCGCTGAGCAAACTGCAAACCAACTGACTTCAAGTTTTTGAGGAATGTCTCGTATAGAGTGTCGACTATGGGCTGCCCTTGATATGGCTTCTGTCGTTTTGGAGAAGGAAGACCCTCAGTCTTGATGCGAGGTGTCAGTGGGATGTCAAATTCTTGTGCGAAAAAACTAACATCAAATGTCTGCGGAAAAATGTAGGAATGACCCGCAAGGAGACGGTCAATGATAGCATTGCAGTTACGGCCGAGTCGAAAGTAGCCTGGGGTATATTTATAGGCGACGTCCTTGATTTCAGTGTGGAAGAGGCTCGCACGAGCATCAATCTATAGCAGGTGTCAATATTAAATCAAAGTAAGACAGATTACTTACTAGATTGGCGAGTGCCGACAAATACTCATCATCAACATACATCCGTTTCTCAATTGGCGCTGTCTTGTGATGCTTCACAGCCTGAAGTAAGAGTTCCCACGCATATGAGTTCTTGGCCACAATTTCGGGGTACCCGTGAGTGAAGGCAATGTATGCTTTGACTTCGAGGATACCATGTTGGACCACCTTGCGAAGCTCCAAGTTCTGGTCTGTAAGTCGCACTGTCCCAGTCTTCGTGTAGACAAGATCAGCCATCGTGTCAGCATGCGGGGGCACATCAGGCTCAGGTTTGATATCGAGGATGGAAAGGTCTTCCTCATCTTCCTTGACTTGTACTGTGGGAGAGGGTGTATTGCTCTTGCTACTGTGTTTGAGAGGCTGCGGTCCAAAGGATGACCTCGTCATTGGAGAGTCCCACATGGGGATCTATTGAGTGAATTTTGGTTTCAGTAGACTCGGAATACAAAGGAACAAAATATATTCTTACTTCGGCAGTATATTTCTTTTCTTTCGCACTCGAAGGCCTGTATTGTGAGCCCCATACAGGTGGTGGAGGCGTTGGTGACCGGGACGGAGTATTTCTGGTCTTCCGAGGTCTGCCAGACTTACTCTTTGCAGGCTTTTTCTGGCGGTCTGCTGCCTGCGTATTGACAATTGCGGGAACCTTGAAAGTTCATGCAGATTACTTAAGCTTATTGAATGCAGTGCAAAGTGACTTACCTCTCCAAACAGAGCTTTTGCGATGCTCTCGACTGGCTCTGATCCTGAGTCCGACATTTCAATTTCAGAGCTGGAAGCTCTATCAGAGACACTCTGCTTGCTAGCAGTGTCTGAATCAATATCTGATGGTTCAACACTGACACGAGCTATAATTTTCAACCATTAGTAAAAGTGTCACGTGGCAACACACAATGCTGACTCCTCTTCTTTGATCGCAAGGTAGGCTAACCTCCACGTTGTCCTCAGAGTTAGATGCGAGAGGTGGCGGCCGCTCTAATCTTTCTGTGAGCAAGTTTGGCTTTTGTGTGGGCACTGATACTTACTGCAGCTTTGCTTTTTCCAGTTCTGAGGGGAGGTTCTGGTGTCCTTGCTTTCGTTCTACCACCTGCATCCATCATGGCGGGTCATCACTACAGGTGAGCTACTACTAATCGCGACTTACTTTTGACTGACTTGACCCGTTTTGGAATAGGTGCAATATTGTCAGTGGGTGAGTGTTCGTGCTTGCGTGCCCGTTTGTTTCGGCGGAGTGGTCCCCAAACTGCCACAAAGTATCATTGTGAGCATGAATTTGTATGGTGACAACGTGCTTACCTGGATTGTCTAGAGCCTGATCTTTTGCCTTGCGTCGTACTTGAACCAAGTGAGTTTTAACTTGATTGTCATGAAAAATTTCTTACGCCGTGGATGCAACAAGTCCATTGAAGGGAAATTAAGGTCGGAAGGAGTAAAAAGTCTGAAAAACGAATGTGAGAGTGCCTTTCTGCTGGAGAAAGACCGCTTCAAAAAGGTGAGTAAGTGTTTTTAATTAAGTTGGGGTCAGGCATTTAATTTGAAACAGTCCGCTTATTATGCTGAGCGCTGAGCCAGGGTTGACCCTTTCCTTGTCCGGCTTAGTTTGCTATTTGGTGAGTTTATGTTCAGAAACTTAAAACACTGCTTTACAAAGTAGTCCTAGTGCGCACACCATTCTCTACTTAGTAACGGTCCTGTCAACCAGGAACTTTCTTATTGGTGGCACGCTAACCGGATGCAAGTCATTTCCTCCATTTACGGATTATCAAGAAGCATTTTCCTCTCCATTACCACCCTCTATGTCCCACTACTGCGCTTGGCAAAAGCCATTTCCTTCGTTTACGAACTATCAAGAAGCATTTTCCTCTCCATTACCACCCTCTATGTTTAGTGTTCTTCCCTAGTAACGGCCCCATCGGCTGGGAACTTTTGGCATTCCCCCGTTTACGAACTATCAAGAAGCATTCTCCTCTCCATTACTACCCTCTATGTTTGTCGTTTTCAGCTACTGTGCTTCACAAAAGTCATTTATCTGATGTGCTTAACAAGTCTGATATCCGGTTCCGTCACTGCAAGACTTGGATTTACCAATCTCCGAGCATGCGGAATACCGTCATCACTTTACCCAATATTTCTTACTTTGGCAGAGCCTCACAGCCTCTTACATGCTGCTGACACCACTTTTTAGCTCTGACTGTCAGACTCGCACACTTTATAGGTCCTTACTGTTGACTGAAAAGTTGTAAGTGATTTTCAGGCATTCAGTGTTCATTTTTTTATTGAATCTACGCAGAACATGCCTGAAATAACATGTCCTTCCTGCGACAAAAAACTTGCGTCAATCACCGGTTATAGTCAGCATCTCGCGAAAACCTCCAATCCTGCCTGTCGTACCCTCTACCTTTCCTCACGGCAATTCGCTCCAGACCCAGCAAATGATGTAGATATAGATGCACCTGATTCAAATCATCCGCTGCATTTTGAAGGTGATTTTTTTGGGACATACGCTGAGAATGAGCTTGCATGGCCAGGGTCAGATGACGAGGGGGATGTTGGTCAAGCGCCTATGGATGAAGAAGACTCAGATAATGACATCAACGATCACGACGAATGGGAGCCTCCTGCAGCACCAGCACTACCAAGTCAGTCTGCGGAGCATCATGACACTAACGATCATGACAGATGGGAACCTCCTGTAGTGCCAGCACCCGCGCACAATGACGCCTTGCACCCACCTACCGCAGATCAAAGCCAAGATGCTTTTCATATGGCGCAGCGGTGACTTCTTGAACACGAACAAGTACCTATAGTTGTCCATTACCCCGATCAACGAGCCGGACAACCCATCGACTCAGCCATCAAGCAGCCAAGCAATATAATCTACCATGCACAGCTTAATGGTTTGAGTGCAGATAATATCTATGCCCCATTCGCCTCGAAGCTTGATTGGGAGATGGCTCAATGGGCAAAATTATGAGGTTCAAGTTCAACTGCGTTTTCAGAACTTGTTTCTATTGAAGGTGTAAGTCCGCGCTTCACTCAAACACTAGGATCAATCTAATTGTACCACTTCCAGCTTAGCGAAAAGATTGGTCTTTCCTTCAAGAATACACGGGAACTGAACAAGATTATCGACAATGAACTTCCAGGCCGTCCGAAATTCAAACGCGATCAGATTGTTGTTGCTAATGAAGTGTTTGACATCTACTATCGCGATATCATTGAATGCATCAAGGCTCTTTTCGGTGATCCAAATTTTGCTGATGTTCTGGTCTTTGTGCCTGAACATCATTATGCCGACGAAGATGAGACGATTCGTTTATATCATGAGATGCATACTGGAAAATGGTGGTGGAATAGTCAGGTCGGTGTTTTCTACCTTTTGCGAGCTTCAATGTACTAATATTATTGTATTCTTCCTAGAAACACTTAGATCGCGAGCGCCCTGGTGCTACAATAATCCCCGTCATCATTTCATTGGACAAGACTCAAGTTACGATGTTTCGCAACAAAACAGCGTACCCCGTCTATATGACTATCGGAAACATCCCAAAGGATATTCGTCGGAAACCGTCACGCCAGGCACATGTCCTCCTCGCATACCTTCCAACGACTCGCCTCGAACACGTCACAAACAAAGCTGCTCGCCGATGGATGCTTGCCAATTTATATCATGCTTGTGTGGGACGCGTACTTGCACCACTCGCAGCTGCCGGCATCAATGGCATTAATATGCAAAGTGGCAATGGAATAATGTGTCGAGGCCATCCTTTATTTGCATGTCTTGCAGGAGACTACCCAGAGCAAGTTTTAGCTACCACAGTCAAGACAACTCAATGTCCAAAGTGCGATGTTCCCTCCGACGAGCTTGGACTAGCAACTGGTGTTGCAAATTGGCAACCACAAGATCTTGGTGCAGTACTTGATGCCCTCTGCACTCTTGACCAAGGTGGATTGGCCTTTGTGCGTGCATGCGCAGATGCTGGCATTAAGCCTATTGTCCACCCATTCTAGGAGGGACTACCTTATGTCAATATATTCGAATCCATAACTCCTGACATTCTGCATCAGCTATACCAAGGGCTCGTCAAGCATCTTCTCGCTTGGCTTTCTGATGCGTGCGGCAGTACGGAGATTGATGCACGATGTCGACGCCTCCCCCAAAATCACCATATTCGACTATTTACGAAGGGCATCACAACTCTTTCGCATGTCAGTGGTACAGAACATAATCAAATCTGCCGTTTTTTGCTCGGCATCATCATCGACATCAGTCTACCTAATAATATGTCTTCCGCTCGACTCCTCCATGCCGTTCGTGGTCTGCTAGAGTTTTTATATTTTTCTCAGTACCCATGTCACAGCTCTGAGACGCTGGTTTTACTTGACGAGGCGCTTAACCTTTTCCAGGACAACAAGGACATCTTTATTGACCTTGGCATTCGGAATTCCTTCAACTTGCCAAAACTCCACTTCACAGCTCACTACGTTCACATGATTCGGATGTATGGCACTACGGACAACTACAATACTGAATACACCAAACGCCTTCACATCGACCTTGCAAAAGACGCCTATCGCTCTACGAATCACAAGAACGAGTTTGGTCAAATGACGACTTGGCTTGAACGGAGGGAGAAAATTTTCCGTCACGAGAAATACATTCAGTGGAGACTCGTCGAAAACACCGCACGTCCGCATCATCAGCCCCGTCCCCCAGAAATGACATTTCGTCGTACTCAAACGATGACGAAGCATCCTACCATCAAGGCAGTCACATTGGACAAGGTCGCAAACGAATATGGTGCCACGCACTTTAATGAATGTCTCGCACGTTATGTTGCGAAAGCTACCCTTCCTGTCAACACTGCTGTTACGGCCAGGCAGCTCGAAGATCGAGCAGCTGATATACACATCCCATTTCAAAGACTACCGGTCTTTCATAAGGTGAAATGGCTCTTGGATAATGTTCGTGGTGATGGGGATCCTCCAGTCACAGTCGATAGTGTCCATGCACGTCCTGGACGTTCAGGAAAATTTACATCCAACAGTGTTGCGCCGCGATTTGATACTGTTTTCGTTAATGATGGCACAGGCGGGTCACTTGGCATCAAAGGTGAGTGCTCTGAATTGTGCTGTTGACTGGTACTCAGTGGTTACTATTTAGGATATCGAATTGCGCAAGTCCGTATCATATTCTCGATACCTCCCAAAGCCATCCCCAAACTTTTCCCGTCCACATTTCAGCCTCCGAAACACCTCGCATACGTCGAATGGTTCTCTCCCTTCCGCGTACCTGATCGAGATCACGGCCTGCACAAGGTCTCGCGTGTCATTAAAAATGGAGAACGAATGGCCAGCATCATACCAATCAGCAATATTCGTTGTAGTGCCCATTTGATTCCGCATTTCAGCTCTGTAGCTCCTCGTGAATGGACCTCTGCTAACGTTCTTGACGAGTGTTCATCATTCTATGTAAATACATACTTAGATCGATACAGTTTTGCAACACTGCGCTAGTTGCCAATGATTATCATTAGCTTGCACTATACTATTGGTCTTAGAGCTAGCTACTATAAAATTTCACAGCTTGCGAAAATTTGTCTAAGAACGTCTAATCTATCTAAGTCTATATGGGAGGGTTTTCCTGATGAACCAGTTTTGCCAGTTTTGCCGGTTGCAACCGGCAAAACTGACCACAAGTAGTTTTGCCCCCCACACTAACTGAATGTCACCTCAAAGATTATATGCACACAGCCACCACGCCTGATTTTCATTTTTCTTCTGACCCATACATGGCTGACAAGTTCTACCAGTAACCAGTGACAACTTGAAGTTGTTTCTTGGCCACTATCCCTGCCCTCTGCTTAGAAACGGCCAAGCTTCAAGAGCGCTCAGCAATATTGGATGACGCAAACCTTTCGTTATTTTGCCTCAATGATTATCCTTCCTGCAATCACCGCAGTCCGCTGGCTCGATTTGAATATCAACAACTCGATGCACCTTCCCCAGGAGACGAATTTCATAATCAGAGCTGCACATATTCTCGGTATAAAACTTTCTCCAAGTATAGTCTCGCCACTGACGAGAACAGGTATAAAACGAACGCAGTTGAGTTGAAAAGGCCTCAGACGAGCACTTCCTGTTGCAGTGAGTAGTCCTCTGATGGTACACTATGTGCATTTTATTGAACGAATGTATAACAGCTCTTCTAATACTTTGTCATAGTAACTTCGCACATCGCACAATCAAACTTTCCGTCGGTGTGTGATGATTTTACTGACATGATCGTATCACAGGCTAATGCATAGTTATACCAGATACCATGAAAGTCGCTCAAATCGTTTTCCTCACAATTCTCGTCGCTTTCAATGTCGCCAGGGCCACTACAGTGCCGACAATTTTTTCTCGATGGTCAAACTGTGTTGGCCCGTGCCAGTCTACAGCGCCGAACTGTGATCCAGGGAGAACGCCTGTGGAAACAAGCCCCAATTGCTGGGCGTGCTGCGAAGCTGGTAGCTCCTTGGCGTAAACGACTTTCGAACTGCTCGACAGGGACGGTGTCTTACCATTGAGGCCCTACGTACTGGTTCAACTGTAACTACATCATAAGTAGGTTGAACTCGGTCATCTTTGCTGTCAAATGAATCATATACCGTCTTCAAAAAAGATTGAGATTTGGCTTCGACATTATGGATGTCAGAACATCAGAGATACTGTATCGTGGAATGGCTCGATTTGAATATCAGCGCCTTGCCAAGGAGACGAATTTCATATTCTCGGTACAAAACTTCTCCGAGTAAAGTCTCACCACTGACGAGAACAGGTATAAAACGAACACGATTGAGTTGACGAGGCCTCAGACGAGCACTTCCTGTTGCAGTGAGTAGTCCTCTTACGATACACTATGTGCATTTCATTGAACGAATGTGTACCAGCTCTCCTGATACTTTGTCATAGTAACTTTGCGCACATCGCACAATCAAAATTCCCGTCGGTGTGTGGTTTTCCTAGCATGATCGTATCACAGGCTGATAATAATTATACCAGATACCATGAAAGTCGCTCAAATCGTTTTCCTCACAATTCTTGTCGGTTCCAATGTCGCCAGTACCGCTACAGTGCCGACAATTTTTTCTCGAGGTTGGACCTGTGTTGACACGTGCCAGTCTACACCGCCTCAGGACTGTGAGACAGGGATGACGCCTACGAAAACAAACTCTTGGTGCTGGATGTGCTGCGAATTTGATAGCTCCTTGGTGTAAACAACTTTCGAACTGCTCGACAGGGACGATGTCTTACCATTGGGGCCTCAGTCATCTTTGCTCTCAATCAATACAAGCAAAATATGTGTCATATGCCATCTTCCAAAAAGATTGAGACATAACTTCTGTTCACGACATGATGGATGTCAGAACATTACATAAAGATACTGTAGGCTATGAGTATCGGGCTCCGCTGTATACCTTACAGAAACACGACTCACCGTAGTTCACTGTCGTGACATGGCACTCATTTATCCACACACATCAAGATAGGCTACCATACCGGTGAGTCATGTGTTTAAATCCAAGGCGCAAAATACTTATACTCACAGTTGTGCCTATACCGCTCTGGAGCTTACATGTCTGCGTAACGCAGCAATTTTTGTACGAGCAAAAATCAGGACAATCTCCGGTACTATCAATGTTGGTGGGACTGGCAGATACCAATGCTATCAAAGCGGAAGCAACAGCAATGACAGAGGAGAGATGCATTGTTTGAGGATGTGATATAGGGTCAAACCAATCTGAATGAGGCAATAGGGAGATAGCTTTTTATACTGTACTGAATATCATTCTCCGTGGTCCGGGTGATGCAGGAAGAAGCTATCCATTTGAAGTTTTCAGAAGGTCACTGAAACCGCCCTTCCGGCGCAAAACAGTAGTGCCGGGGGCAGAATTGTTTGCGCGCAATTGTGCTGGCATAACCGGCAGAAGCGGCAGAACCACCACTTCTGCCGCTTGGCAAAATTTTCAAAGTGATACAAGCCGTTTATGACGATGTATAGTAAGTGTCACTAGAAAACACCATTAGAAGACATCAGCACGTCCACATCCAACTGTCCGTCGTCGTGTGAGGTGTGATCAACTACCATGATCTCATCGTCAACAGATTTCGGTGCAAGACCTTGGTCAACATGCTCCAATTTTGCAAAATCACAAACTTGGCCCTCCAACACTTCATTTCCGTCAACCTGATATTCTGCCGGATTCTACCCGCAGAATTCTGCCATCTGCCAGGCAGAACCGGTTTGGCAAAACCAGCTGGCAGAATGGCGAACTTCTGCCCACAACCCTAGTTGACGAGCATCCTGCGCTCCGCTCAGAAATGGCCATGTCGAGGCTCCAAGAGTGCTCAGTACTCAGTAGTGACCAATATTTGATCCTATGCAAATAATAACCTACTGATCGTTCTTCCTGCTGGATCGTTACAACCCGCTGGCTCGGTTTAACTTGGATGTGATTATCACGAATTTGGCGCGCCTTAATTATGCTCACATCCAGATCGCTAATTAGAGATGAATTGGGCCAGGTGAAATTGACGCGGCCCTGCCGCGGTCGTGACGCGCCTGTGACGCGGCACTGACGCGGCATATGTGACGCGGCACTGTAACAAATTCCTATGTACAAATCATGTTTACACAACTTCATATCGCATTCCAAACACTTTGAATCATCGTTAATGATCAACATATGAGTGTCTGCCTGCGTACAGGCTCTATAGTGCTGTATTCACCTCTCACCAAATTTACAGTGCTTGTCCTCTGCGTTCATACTACTAGTATGCATCTGGCCGTCAGTCCTATATTGTTGCATTACCTCTAATTCGTTCATCTATGTTGGTTTTCAGATGCAGTGTCAAATGTTGTCTCACTGTGTCAAGCTTCGACCTCACCCTGCCAAGTTTGATCCACTCTCTATACCCTACACCAACACGTCGAGCCCCAACCATGGCATGTCAGAAGCCTCGTTTAGGCTGCGTCAAGCACTACTCACACCACGACAAGTTCTCCCAAATATCTTCGCAGTCTCTGTACTAATATCAACATCCACACTCTATGCCGCGTCAAACAAGTTGTGCCGCGTCAAATTTTCAAACCTCGTCACTGCCGCGTCACCCGCGCGTCACGCGTCACGCCGCGTCAAACTTCATTCATGCCGCCACCTGGGTTGCCCTATTAATAAGCCTTATTATACTTGGCAGTTACGTGTCTCGCCAACTATAATTAGGCTTGGTTTCATCAAATCCCTACACCAGCGTTAAATAGTGCCCCAGCTCCTCAAAATACCTTCAAAAAAACTATGTACACCTCACTATGGTGGGCGCGCGCGCGCGCATAGGCTATATTCGGTAAGCATCCCGCCCCGCCTTAATTGCGTCATATTCCTATTTTAATTCGGCACGCTCGGCAACGCCTACTACGCTTCCTAATTCGAACCAAGGGGCCCTTCTCACGCTTCCTAGCTCTCCTCATCACTGTGCTCATCGTCCCTGCCGTTCCCTGCCTCCATCATGCCCCCATTGTTCCGCCTTTGTCGTCGTCGTCATCAACCTCCTTCGTTCCTGCCGTTTCCCACCTCCCTCGTGCCTTCTCAACCTCCTTCGTACCTTCGTCGTCGTCGTCATCCGTACCTGCCGTTTCCCAACTCCCTCGTGCTTTCGTCGTTGCCCTCCTTCATATCTGCCGTTTCCCGCCTCCCTCGTGCCTTCGTCGCCCCAACCCAGTAATGCCTCGTGCCTCAGGTGTCGGGAGGGTCAAAGGGCTCTCGAAATCCATCATTTCCCATGGTTTTAGAGGGGGTCATCGCTATTCCAAAGTCCTGGCAGCCGGCAAACAAAGCCAGCGTATGGCAGAGGCAGATTCCAGCCGCCAGGCTGCTATACAAGGTATGTACTATTTTCTTTTTTTATCATTAACGCTTATTGTTGTATTAGAAATGTCATCAGAGGACCGAAGCCGCGTCGAAAATATGATGGCAGATTTTGGAATGGACGTGGAGGTGTTCACCCATACAGTGCCTCCAGGTGAAGAGGCCTTTGACCTCAGTCACGCAGGTGGGGAGCATGAGGCATTTGAAGACCTTGCTCATCAACTGGCGGATCTAACTGGATAGTACGTATTCACCACTGTGTACAACTCTTCAAATATTAACACCCATTGTAGTCATCACATTGATCCACGAATTCGGGGAGAACGCATCGACACTCAAACCGCTCATTGGGGCCTTCAGATAGATCGTCTCGTTGACGCCTACTTAAACTATCGCAGTCGAGATTCCGGGGACGGTATGCCTGATATTTCAGATCAGGTCCTGTCAGGTGTCGATGCTTCATTCTCAATTAATGAGATTGAACTCATTGATACATTCAGTAAGTCTGAAACGTTCCTTGATATCTTGTACTTATTTTTTCTTTGCAGCACGAAGGCGCTCGCATCTACGACCTTTACCGTCTCATCAATACCCGAATGAAACCCTCATCTACTATGGGTACATCGGGTGTGCCCCGATGTATCCTTCTGTTGCCATCTCGCTTCGTACACTCGCTGCCTACCGTCAGTCGCACCGAACGTGTCCCCGGTTCAGTATCCAATCACAATGCAAGACTTTATGTTACCTTCACGATGTACGTACATTCCTCACATTGAGGTTCGTTTATTTACGTTGAGTTTGTAGATTCCATATCGGCCATACTTAAAAATGCAATTCTCGGCAGCCTATGACGTTTTTCTAGAAATCCTCCATCGCATCAACCAGCGTCTGCGTCAGGCGCTCAAACGGGATACCGTCAACTGGCGTATGTTAAACACATGCCCTGCATGCTTTTACAAGCTCGATGATGAACCTGCCCTCGATTTTGAATGGCTGGTATCAATTGACGGTAACAATAGCCTGAAGCGATGGGACTCGTCCATCTATGGTACCACCGCCCGATCTGATTCTCGCACAGCTCGTTCGGATTATTGGATTCATGCTGACGCTGTTGACAAGTTTGAGAATGAAGTCAAATCCCGACAAGTGTTTACTATGTATACAACTATGTTCTAACATTATCTTTTAGACAGACTTGAGGAATGATGACGACTGGGAGGATGAGCCTACAGACCCGGATCATCCGGGAGCATTCACATGCGTCAATCGATGGAGAAACGCTGGCCCAGACTCACGTAAGAAGATGTTTGCCGTATTCCAAGAGTCAGGTATTTTTATCGCTTCATGCCGCCATCGCTTTGTGCTTCTCGCGTGTGATATGATCCGAAGCGGAGAACTGTAAGACCGCATTTTGATCTAATTTTTATATTACTAATGTATTCTGGCAGTGCGAAATATCCGATAGCGATCATCGACAAACTCCTTACGGTATATGGAAAAAATGGAGGTTGCGCGTACGATATCGGTTGCGCATTCTCGAAGACGTTAGCTAATAGTACGTTGGGCCCTCGTGCACACGATCTCGGCTTTCGGATGATGGTTGGCGCCTTCCATGGCCATGCGCACAATCGAAGGTGTCAGCTTGACTGGCACCCAATGTATATCTCTGGAACTGGCCATACTGAGGGCGAGGGTTGTGAGCATATCTTCTCTGCATCTAACGAGCTTGCGCGTAGCACAAGGCATGCTAACCGTTTTCATCGCCACCAAGCCATCGAGGAACATTTCGCTTTTTGGGATGCCAATAAGTATGCTGCACTTAGTAAGTCAAAAAATCAAGCTGTAATTGTAATACTGATGCCGCAGTGTCAGGTAATTATTTGTGGACTCATTATCGCGAAGCGTTGAAATCTGTTCGGTTGCTGACAGCCGAGCTAGAAACTATCAAGGCCGAGCTACGCCTTAGCAACAACGACTTCCCTGGATTCTTTGATCAGGAACGCATATATCTGGATGGTCTGAAGCAGCCAGCTCCACGAGATCGACTCTCTATACGTTACGTTGAAGTACTAGACGAACTCGCTGAAAGAAGGTATCGTGCCATCGACTACTAACTACCACCCATCCCCTGATATGAATTTTAATAGAGCTGAATGGGATCTCGCCCGTGAATCTGGCAATAACGCTCTTAATGGAGTACATATTGGCAGCTTGGAACAGATGCATGACGCCCTGAAGCAAGCTCGCATCCGAGTTAATTCTTCATATGCCAAATTACAGCATGCCGAGGGGCTTGTTGCTCATTGCGAAACACTCTTATCTGTCGATGAGAGATGGTTGATTGGCGGTGACGAATACAAACGTTTCAAGGAGGAAGCGACACTCGGCAAGTATCGTACTGCATTGGATGAACTCGAACGTTTGGTCGTCATGAGATTGTTTGAACTCTCAAAGCTCTCGTTATCGGGCACAGGTTTGAGATTTCCACTACTAGTAAGCGCTTGTACTATGACTGATTCGTTTACAAATTGTTTAGGATACAAACTACGTCAACAGATTAGTAAAGCTTTACAGCGGCGCTCGGACACTATTCGCAACGCGATCAATCGCTACAATATCCAGGCTGCTTCCCTCATCCCACCGAGACAAACGATCGCATGGAAAGACATTGCCGAATACAGTTTCCTTGGCGAGTTTGACCTTCTGCGTGACTCTCGTACTGACATCCAAGACAAGGATTGGGCAAGGCCAGCTCACCGTGAGGCGACTACAAAGTACTTCAAGCTCTGCCGAGCTCGCGAAGAAATTATTCGACTCAATATTGAAATTCGCCGGCTCCGAACTGCTATCCACGATGAAACCATTGACACGTCTGCCGTTATCGACGAACTTCTTGTAGCTAACCCTTTGCTTGCTGCCGAGTTGAAACGCCAGTGGCGCTCACGGGCGGCTATCAACGCTGTGCACACATATCGGTTAGATCAGATTGAGAGACTATTTGGATTCTCTGGTATTAGTGGCATTGGAACTCGCCTTGCGAATCCTGCGTTCAGCAGACCAGTCAATACCAACGGTGCTAGTTCCGGTGAGTGTGGATCTTTAACTACCTATATCGCATTAATTCTCGCCACAGCACAAGCAGAGAATCCTGATTCTTCTGCGTCGGAATTCCATGATATTGAAGCCCTTGACCGTGAAGAGCACGAAGTGGTCACCGAAGACATGGCTGATTTTTTGTACTCAATAAACGACTGACACCATCTCTGCTTTGTAATTGTTTTTTTTCATGTACCGCATAGGACTACATATATGAGAAGTTTTCTGGTTTGATCGGTGATATAAGAAAGAGTAGGTAGACGATTGTATAAGTGATTGTGTGGGTGATATAAGAAAGAATTGAACAACTTGAATACCTATGATGTTCGGATAGGTTAGTTGGCGACCCCGAGCTTTCTGCATGGTGACCTCGTCGCGATTCCTTGATCCAACTTGAATGTCGATGATGTTTGGATAGGTGAGTTGGCGATCTCACCTTGATCCAACTTGAATGCCGATGATGTTCGGATAGGTGGACCAACTTGAATGCCGATGATGTTTGGATAGGTTAGTTGGCAATCTCAAGCTTTCTCCTGTGGTGACCTCATCACGATGATATTCAGATAGGCTAGTTTGGCGACCCCTGGTAGGCTTTCTTGAATGTTAGGGAGACTCTTTGCCTGACTCGGAGGATTATGCGGCTATCTGAAGTGTCATGCCGTTCATAGCATAGTCCTTTGTCATTCCTGTATGAATATGCATTGTATACTATTTTGTACTATGTAGTTGTGTGATATCCGATCTTGCAAAGTGAGCTCACATGCTGTATTGAGTGTCAAATCACGGACAACACAATATTCTGCTGAACACATGTATTCAGCTGAATTCTATAGCAGCAACTTGAAGTCGCCAGCCTTTCATATTTTCTTCATGGTTTACGACCACTGCTATTTCATGCTTGATCTGTGCTTCTGGAACTCATTCCAGAATTGCATGGCCTGCAAAAGTGAGTATTACATTTTACGTTTTGGCGCTTATCTGTGCTTTTAACCTTGCTTCACAACTACAGACTACATCACTGGTTCCATAATGGTCACTCCAATCTCTAGCCTCAGAGCCACTGCGTCTATCACCTCCGTTCAGCCCTCAAGTCAAACCACGGAATCAGCCACTAAAAAATTCGCCATCCCCAGTCTTGCCAATCTACACAACTCAACGTTCGCTCAAGGATTCAGCAATAACGAACGTCAAGCGGCCGCCAGGGCTTTACTGAGACACGACGTTCACATTGACGGGACACACTATCAGGCTAGACTGCCTGGTGGCCTTCACCCGTCGTACTTTGCCTTTAGCAGCACTGCTAAACGAACCAGTGAAAAATCCCTTACCCAAGAGGAGCTTCTGGAGGCATCACTGCAAGACGTCTTCGACGCCGTGAGTCATTCAAGTCAGTGTCCGCATCTTATTTATGTCTCACTTGTTTCCCAGCTGAGTATGCAAGATCGCCTTGATGGCGGAATTTCTGTCCTCATTCGATGCGCTGGGTCTGAAGCAGTCTCTTCACCCGAAAACCTCCCTGTCGACCTCTACATTACGCCCCGCGAACTACAAGAAACTCCCGAGCGAATTGGCGGAGACCTTGCCATCTGGGTGCAGGTATTTGCCCAGGAGTTTGCAATGCCACACCTCGAGCGGTTCAATCAACGTTGTGTCATCGAAAACATCCAACCGCCACCATGCTGTAAGTAGTAGATCATTTTCGGCTTCACTGTTCACACAACTGACTCAAATTCAACAGTTTCTGTGGCTCATATCAATGTCAAGGGCCCACAGTATCTACCTGGCCCAGTGGTTGCTACTGGAGCGCATATACAATGTTCTGCTCAACCGGCCCATACCTTCACGCAAGAATTGAAAGCAACTGCGGTGCACGATGCTCCTTCTGCAGCTATCCGCGGGGGTGCAGAAATGAGCGAAGGTATTGGCGAGAACATTTCGCCACAGCTGACCACCCAACACACACGAGTTCGCCGACGCAGGCACGCGGAAATTTTCACACCCGGCAAGGTAACTAATGATGGCCCGATTTTTTCGGTACCAAGACTGGAGCAGGATACTGCATGTGGACCGCCACTCATTAGTATTGGACCGAATACTGACGCCGCTCTGGATTGGATTAAGTTGGGGGATGAAGTTTTACCTAAGCTCCGTGTTCTAGTTCAAACTGTGCGTAGCAGCCGATGGGAGGCAGTGTTCAGGTCTCCAAAATGGGATCTCTCGTACGAACATGCTTCCATTCTGTCTAGGGCGCTCCTGGCTGACCTTCAGGGCATGCCACGTAGCCCTGATGTTGTAAAGGTCAGTGATATTATTTTGGCTGCTGCTGTCATACTAACTCAATTGAATGTCCATAGCAGCCGTCATCTGTCCTCATGTCCATTTTGAAGCTTATTGGTATATTGATTTTCTTATGCGGCCTATACTTTTTCGGCATCTTATTATTTTGGCTGTAGATCACTTTCCCCTTTTGAGTCTTAGTTATAAGCCATGTGTCCTGTTTTTTTGCCGTGGGTTAGAAAAAATAAATGCATTGGTGTGTATAAAATATTCGTATTCAACTACAAAGGCCCTTTGCTGATTTTTGCCATCCTTCTGTGGGTGATGGTCTCCCAGTCCTTCTATGCTGCGAAGCGTGCGAAGCGCATTCAAGCACCACCTCGTAGTCGTCCTAAGGTCACCCTCAGCAAAGAAGCTCGCGCGGCACTCAAGTTTCAGCGAACCGAGAAGTCGCGTCAATTCAAGGATGCGCTTGATCTTGCATGGGGCCAAATTGACGATGTTACAACAACCATTGCTGCTACCCATCGCAAGAGCTTCCGTCGTGTACAGCACGATTTATACATGGGTCGGGGATCACTCCGTTCGAAGCATTCAAAGCCCAGCGTTTGGAATGCATTTTGCTGGAAGAAATCTCAGGAAGCGAAGAAAGAGAACTGTAAGTCTGTTGATTTGTATCATATGCATTTTCATGACTCAATGTTGAATTAACAGGCAATGGCCACGGAAAGGAAGCACTCCAGTCACTGGTCCGCGACCACAAGGATGAATACCACGCTCTCACACAGGAAGAACAACAAGAGTTGCTCCAGGAATTCGCCGACCAGAAGGAGACCAAGGTCTCTGGGTTACGTGTCTCAACGAAGTCGAAGATCAACGACATCACTCAAACCCTGAAGGCGGTAGAAAACGAGGTACGCACCCTCGAATTGCAATACAATGTTACTAAGTGTCTCGTTACTAGCTCAATAGTTTAAATTCTCGCACTGGCGCCGAGGTCATGTTGTATATGATGCGCGGTACTACTGATCTACCTCTCCGTGCAATCACCTTCACAACGCCGGGTGTCAATCACTTTATGGACTCTGTCATCGGCATCGATACTCAGGACTTCCTCAGCAAGATGGAAGGTTTCGCTATCCAAGGGATACAAGGTACAGTTTTTCCGTTGTTATTACATTCTCAAGTTAATTTCTATTTGTACTAGGTGCCGCAAGCAACCATCAAAAAGAGGTCTCTAAGGTTCGCGGAGACATTCGAGCAATCATCACCCAGAAATTGAGTAAGTCTTTCCCATCTTTTGACAGCACAGAATTCATTTTATTCATAGGGAAGGTGACCGGAGAAAGCAATGCCAGGATGCAGTGGGCAGACTACTTTCGTAACGTGGTCAACCGCTATCAGGTCGCCATCAAAGGATGGCCGGAGCATATCCCATTCACAAACCTCAGCAGTGTGACCAACGCGCTTCCGGACCTCCATACTCTTTTAGACTGTTGGAAGTCGGGCGATACGAGGTGGGAAGTGTTGAATGACGAGGAACTCGAGCAACTCCGTCGCGAGCGCAATGAAAAAATTGACAGTGGTGACATTATCGAGTCCCGCCGCAGGACACGGTCCGACAAGGGTAAGAAGCGAGTACGACATGCGATAGCTGACCCCAGATGTAGCAAGAAGCACAAGAGTGCGGAGACCATTGAGTCCAGTGACGACGAAGATACCCAGAGTCATGGACGGACACCAGACGGTTCGGAGGATGTCAACACCACTCCGAACGCCAACTCGAACTCTAATACGACCGGGTGTACTGCTGGACGGACACCAGACGGTTCGGAGGATGTCAGCACCACTCCGAACGCCAACTCGAACTCTAATACAACTGGGTGTACTGCTGGACAGACACCAGATGGTTCAAAGGATGTCAGCACCACTCCGAACGCCAACTCGAACTCTAATACGACTAGGTGTACAGCTGGACAGACACCAGATGGTTCGGAGGATGTCAACACCACTCCAAACGCCAACTCGAACTCTAACACGAGTGGGTGTACTGCCGAGCACCCAGTAATGTCAATTCCCCCAGACTCAATCATCCTTTCCCCTTCGAGCAGCACCCCAGTACCATAACAATATCCCAGACTCAGCCATCCTGTCCCCTTTGAGCAATGTCCCTAGTTTCATTATTCCTGCGCTATAACTCATTTCTTGATGGAATCGCTCGTGATAGACTTAGTTTGTTTTTATAAAAGTGCAATGACATCTTAGTTTGATCTACAATATCACAGTGCAAGTAGAATATGACATAACCCAGTGCAATGAGGTGCGACAAACTACAAAGGGACAAAGGAGAACAACAAAGCTACAAAGGAGGGCGACGACGAAAGTACGAGGGAGGCGGGAAACGGCAGGTACGAAGGAGGGCAACGACAAAGGCACAAAGGAGGGCGACAACGAAAGCACGAGGGAGGCGGGAAACAGCAGATACGAAGGAGGGCAACGACGAAGGCACAAAGGAGGGCAACGACGAAAGCACGAGGGAGTTGGGAAATGGCAGGTACGAAGGACGACAACGATGAAGGCACAAAGGAGGGCAACGACGAAAGCACGAGGGAGGTGGGAAACGGCAGGTACGAAGGACGACGACGACGAAGGTACGAAGGAGGTTGAGAAGGCACGAGGGAGGTGGGAAACGGCAGGAACGAAGGAGGTTGACGACGACGACAAAGGCGGAACAATGGGGGCACGATGGAGGCAGGGAACGGCAGGGACGATGAGCACAGTGATGAGGAGAGCTAGGAAGCGTGAGAAGGGCCCCTTGGTTCGAATTAGGAAGCGTAGTAGGCGTTGCCGAGCGTGCCGAATTAAAATAGGAATATGACGCAATTAAGGCGGGGCGGGATGCTTACCGAATATAGCCTATGCGCGTGCGCGCGCCCACCATAGTGAGGTGTACATAGTTTTTTTGAAGGTATTTTGAGGAGCTGGGGCACTATTTAACGCTGGTGTAGGGATTTGATGAAACCAAGCCTAATTATAGTTGGCGAGACACGTAACTACCAAGTATAATAAGGCTTATTAATAGGGCAACCCAGGTGCATGCCGCGTCACAAGTAGCACATGCCGCGTCAAACCTCACCTGGGTTGCCCTATTAATAAGCCTTATTATACTTGGTAGTTACGTGTCTCGCCAACTATAATTAGGCTTGGTTTCATCAAATCCCTACACCAGCGTTAAATAGTGCCCCAGCTCCTCAAAATACCTTCAAAAAAACTATGTACACCTCACTATGGTGGGCGCGCGCACGCGCATAGGCTATATTCGGTAAGCATCCCGCCCCGCCTTAATTGCGTCATATTCCTATTTTAATTCGGCACGCTCGGCAACGCCTACTACGCTTCCTAATTCGAACCAAGGGGCCCTTCTCACGCTTCCTAGCTCTCCTCATCACTGTGCTCATCGTCCCTGCCGTTCCCTGCCTCCATCGTGCCCCCATTGTTCCGCCTTTGTCGTCGTCGTCAACCTCCTTCGTTCCTGCCGTTTCCCACCTCCCTCGTGCCTTCTCAACCTCCTTCGTACCTTCGTCGTCGTCGTCCTTCGTACCTGCCGTTTCCCACCTCCCTCGTGCTTTCGTCGTTGCCCTCCTTTGTGCCTTCATCGTTGTCGTCCTTCGTACCTGCCATTTCCCAACTCCCTCGTGCTTTCGTCGTTGCCCTCCTTTGTGCCTTCGTCGTTGCCCTCCTTCGTATCTGCTGTTTCCCGCCTCCCTCGTGCTTTCGTTGTCGCCCTCCTTTGTGCCTTTGTCGTTGCCCTCCTTCGTACCTGCCGTTTCCCGCCTCCCTCGTACTTTCGTCGTCGCCCTCCTTTGTAGCTTTGTTGTTCTCCTTTGTCCCTTTGTAGTTTGTCGCACCTCATTGCACTGGGTTATGTCATATTCTACTTGCACTGTGATATTGTAGATCAAACTAAGATGTCATTGCACTTTTATAAAAACAAACTAAGTCTATCACGAGCGATTCCATCAAGAAATGAGTTATAGCGCAGGAATAATGAAACTAGGGACATTGCTCAAAGGGGACAGGATGGCTGAGTCTGGGATATTGTTATGGTACTGGGGTGCTGCTCGAAGGGGAAAGGATGATTGAGTCTGGGGGAATTGACATTACTGGGTGCTCGGCAGTACACCCACTCGTGTTAGAGTTCGAGTTGGCGTTTGGAGTGGTGTTGACATCCTCCGAACCATCTGGTGTCTGTCCAGCTGTACACCTAGTCGTATTAGAGTTCGAGTTGGCGTTCGGAGTGGTGCTGACATCCTTTGAACCATCTGGTGTCTGTCCAGCAGTACACCCAGTTGTATTAGAGTTCGAGTTGGCGTTCGGAGTGGTGCTGACATCCTCCGAACCGTCTGGTGTCCGTCCAGCAGTACACCCGGTCGTATTAGAGTTCGAGTTGGCGTTCGGAGTGGTGTTGACATCCTCCGAACCGTCTGGTGTCCGTCCATGACTCTGGGTATCTTCGTCGTCACTGGACTCAATGGTCTCCGCACTCTTGTGCTTCTTGCTACATCTGGGGTCAGCTATCGCATGTCGTACTCGCTTCTTACCCTTGTCGGACCGTGTCCTGCGGCGGGACTCGATAATGTCACCACTGTCAATTTTTTCATTGCGCTCGCGACGGAGTTGCTCGAGTTCCTCGTCATTCAACACTTCCCACCTCGTATCGCCCGACTTCCAACAGTCTAAAAGAGTATGGAGGTCCGGAAGCGCGTTGGTCACACTGCTGAGGTTTGTGAATGGGATATGCTCCGGCCATCCTTTGATGGCGACCTGATAGCGGTTGACCACGTTACGAAAGTAGTCTGCCCACTGCATCCTGGCATTGCTTTCTCCGGTCACCTTCCCTATGAATAAAATGAATTCTGTGCTGTCAAAAGATGGGAAAGACTTACTCAATTTCTGGGTGATGATTGCTCGAATGTCTCCGCGAACCTTAGAGACCTCTTTTTGATGGTTGCTTGCGGCACCTAGTACAAATAGAAATTAACTTGAGAATGTAATAACAACGGAAAAACTGTACCTTGTATCCCTTGGATAGCGAAACCTTCCATCTTGCTGAGGAAGTCCTGAGTATCGATGCCGATGACAGAGTCCATAAAGTGATTGACACCCGGCGTTGTGAAGGTGATTGCACGGAGAGGTAGATCAGTAGTACCGCGCATCATATACAACATGACCTCGGCGCCAGTGCGAGAATTTAAACTATTGAGCTAGTAACGAGACACTTAGTAACATTGTATTGCAATTCGAGGGTGCGTACCTCGTTTTCTACCGCCTTCAGGGTTTGAGTGATGTCGTTGATCTTCGACTTCGTTGAGACACGTAACCCAGAGACCTTGGTCTCCTTCTGGTCGGCGAATTCCTGGAGCAACTCTTGTTGTTCTTCCTGTGTGAGAGCGTGGTATTCATCCTTGTGGTCGCGGACCAGTGACTGGAGTGCTTCCTTTCCGTGGCCATTGCCTGTTAATTCAACATTGAGTCATGAAAATGCATATGATACAAATCAACAGACTTACAGTTCTCTTTCTTCGCTTCCTGAGATTTCTTCCAGCAAAATGCATTCCAAACGCTGGGCTTTGAATGCTTCGAACGGAGTGATCCCCGACCCATGTATAAATCGTGCTGTACACGACGGAAGCTCTTGCGATGGGTAGCAGCAATGGTTGTTGTAACATCGTCAATTTGGCCCCATGCAAGATCAAGCGCATCCTTGAATTGACGCGACTTCTCGGTTCGCTGAAACTTGAGTGCCGCGCGAGCTTCTTTGCTGAGGGTGACCTTAGGACGACTACGAGGTGGTGCTTGAATGCGCTTCGCACGCTTCGCAGCATAGAAGGACTGGGAGACCATCACCCACAGAAGGATGGCAAAAATCAGCAAAGGGCCTTTGTAGTTGAATACGAATATTTTATACACACCAATGCATTTATTTTTTCTAACCCACGGCAAAAAAACAGGACACATGGCTTATAACTAAGACTCAAAAGGGGAAAGTGATCTACAGCCAAAATAATAAGATGCCGAAAAAGTATAGGCCGCATAAGAAAATCAATATACCAATAAGCTTCAAAATGGACATGAGGACAGATGACGGCTGCTATGGACATTCAATTGAGTTAGTATGACAGCAGCAGCCAAAATAATATCACTGACCTTTACAACATCAGGGCTACGTGGCATGCCCTGAAGGTCAGCCAGGAGCGCCCTAGACAGAATGGAAGCATGTTCGTACGAGAGATCCCATTTTGGAGACCTGAACACTGCCTCCCATCGGCTGCTACGCACAGTTTGAACTAGAACACGGAGCTTAGGTAAAACTTCATCCCCCAACTTAATCCAATCCAGAGCGGCGTCAGTATTCGGTCCAATACTAATGAGTGGCGGTCCACATGCAGTATCCTGCTCCAGTCTTGGTACCGAAAAAATCGGGCCATCATTAGTTACCTTGCCGGGTGTGAAAATTTCCGCGTGCCTGCGTCGGCGAACTCGTGTGTGTTGGGTGGTCAGCTGTGGCGAAATGTTCTCGCCAATACCTTCGCTCATTTCTGCACCCCCGCGGATAGCTGCAGAAGGAGCATCGTGCACCGCAGTTGCTTTCAATTCTTGCGTGAAGGTATGGGCCGGTTGAGCAGAACATTGTATATGCGCTCCAGTAGCAACCACTGGGCCAGGTAGATACTGTGGGCCCTTGACATTGATATGAGCCACAGAAACTGTTGAATTTGAGTCAGTTGTGTGAACAGTGAAGCCGAAAATGATCTACTACTTACAGCATGGTGGCGGTTGGATGTTTTCGATGACACAACGTTGATTGAACCGCTCGAGGTGTGGCATTGCAAACTCCTGGGCAAATACCTGCACCCAGATGGCAAGGTCTCCGCCAATTCGCTCGGGAGTTTCTTGTAGTTCGCGGGGCGTAATGTAGAGGTCGACAGGGAGGTTTTCGGGTGAAGAGACTGCTTCAGACCCAGCGCATCGAATGAGGACAGAAATTCCGCCATCAAGGCGATCTTGCATACTCAGCTGGGAAACAAGTGAGACATAAATAAGATGCGGACACTGACTTGAATGACTCACGGCGTCGAAGACGTCTTGCAGTGATGCCTCCAGAAGCTCCTCTTGGGTAAGGGATTTTTCACTGGTTCGTTTAGCAGTGCTGCTAAAGGCAAAGTACGACGGGTGAAGGCCACCAGGCAGTCTAGCCTGATAGTGTGTCCCGTCAATGTGAACGTCGTGTCTCAGTAAAGCCCTGGCGGCCGCTTGACGTTCGTTATTGCTGAATCCTTGAGCGAACGTTGAGTTGTGTAGATTGGCAAGACTGGGGATGGCGAATTTTTTAGTGGCTGATTCCGTGGTTTGACTTGAGGGCTGAACGGAGGTGATAGACGCAGTGGCTCTGAGGCTAGAGATTGGAGTGACCATTATGGAACCAGTGATGTAGTCTGTAGTTGTGAAGCAAGGTTAAAAGCACAGATAAGCGCCAAAACGTAAAATGTAATACTCACTTTTGCAGGCCATGCAATTCTGGAATGAGTTCCAGAAGCACAGATCAAGCATGAAATAGCAGTGGTCGTAAACCATGAAGAAAATATGAAAGGCTGGCGACTTCAAGTTGCTGCTATAGAATTCAGCTGAATACATGTGTTCAGCAGAATATTGTGTTGTCCGTGATTTGACACTCAATACAGCATGTGAGCTCACTTTGCAAGATCGGATATCACACAACTACATAGTACAAAATAGTATACAATGCATATTCATACAGGAATGACAAAGGACTATGCTATGAACGGCATGACACTTCAGATAGCCGCATAATCCTCCGAGTCAGGCAAAGAGTCTCCCTAACATTCAAGAAAGCCTACCAGGGGTCGCCAAACTAGCCTATCTGAATATCATCGTGATGAGGTCACCACAGGAGAAAGCTTGAGATTGCCAACTAACCTATCCAAACATCATCGGCATTCAAGTTGGTCCACCTATCCGAACATCATCGGCATTCAAGTTGGATCAAGGTGAGATCGCCAACTCACCTATCCAAACATCATCGACATTCAAGTTGGATCAAGGAATCGCGACGAGGTCACCATGCAGAAAGCTCGGGGTCGCCAACTAACCTATCCGAACATCATAGGTATTCAAGTTGTTCAATTCTTTCTTATATCACCCACACAATCACTTATACAATCGTCTACCTACTCTTTCTTATATCACCGATCAAACCAGAAAACTTCTCATATATGTAGTCCTATGCGGTACATGAAAAAAAACAATTACAAAGCAGAGATGGTGTCAGTCGTTTATTGAGTACAAAAAATCAGCCATGTCTTCGGTGACCACTTCGTGCTCTTCACGGTCAAGGGCTTCAATATCATGGAATTCCGACGCAGAAGAATCAGGATTCTCTGCTTGTGCTGTGGCGAGAATTAATGCGATATAGGTAGTTAAAGATCCACACTCACCGGAACTAGCACCGTTGGTATTGACTGGTCTGCTGAACGCAGGATTCGCAAGGCGAGTTCCAATGCCACTAATACCAGAGAATCCAAATAGTCTCTCAATCTGATCTAACCGATATGTGTGCACAGCGTTGATAGCCGCCCGTGAGCGCCACTGGCGTTTCAACTCGGCAGCAAGCAAAGGGTTAGCTACAAGAAGTTCGTCGATAACGGCAGACGTGTCAATGGTTTCATCGTGGATAGCAGTTCGGAGCCGGCGAATTTCAATATTGAGTCGAATAATTTCTTCGCGAGCTCGGCAGAGCTTGAAGTACTTTGTAGTCGCCTCACGGTGAGCTGGCCTTGCCCAATCCTTGTCTTGGATGTCAGTACGAGAGTCACGCAG